AGATAAATAGGTACCACCATGGTGGGAAGGTACCGGCTGTCTACGGACAAACGCTGGTTCTATGGTTTGGAAACGGGGTTGAGCACCATGCCCTAGAGTCGGACACGACTGGACTAAATGTCAAAGGGAACCATTACGTAATGTCTTCATGGAGCATACATTGCAGTAGTTTAATATAGAAAATGCATGTTACTAATGCATGAATGCTATGGCCAGATTATTCCTCACTAGGAAAGGTTGGTTGTAGGTGGTGGACTAATGTAAACTGACCTTAGGTGCTTTGCTCTAAGCACTTCTGGGCCTCTGTTGACGGAGATGGATCCAGGAGTACTCATACATCTGCTCCTTAAGGGCAAGTGTAAACATCACAAGGGAAGTGTGTTTTTTCTGGTTCTGGATGCTGTAGCAAGATTTTCTGTTTCAGCCTGGTTTTTACTTCTGTGCTGAAGGAGATCGGTTTTTATTATTATATCAGGGTTTGAATTAGGAATGTTGTAAATATTCTTATTATTCTTAAGCATCTTGATGATGAATATTTATGTTAATCTTATACTACTGTTTGACAAGTTAGAAATGGATATAAGGTCACACTGGGTTGAAAGGATCAGTGATGGCAAGTCTTTTTGGATATAGCAAATTGTATGCTTTGTCAGATCGACATGCTAAAAACAAAGTTACCAACTGGTGTTGTAGGTTTTTCGGGCCCTTTGGCCGTGTTCTGAAGGTTGTTCTTCCTAATGTTTCGCCACTCTCTGTGGCCGGCATCTTCAGAGGACAGGAATCAGAACTCAGAGATAACACACCTAAAATGAAAACTCACATCTTGCTCCTATTTTACTTCAATGAATGCATATCATTGGCACACACCCTTACCTAAGCAAAACCTATACCACCTCACCCTATGTACTTGGAGACAGAGAATCCGAAATAGAAAGAGAGTGTACGGTGCTTTTCCATTGAGCACAACATGTCCAGACAGCAGAAAACAAAAATGAATAGCTGAAGTTGATTTGATACATGTTCTGTTGAGTACACACTAAAGTTCTGTACAGTGGTGCCTCACTTAACGATGTTAATTCGTTCCACCGAAATCGCTGTAGAGCGAAAACGTTGTAAAGCGAAAATAAAAAACCTATTGAAACGCATTAAAACCCGGTTAATGCGTTCCAATGGGCTAAAAACTCACCGTCCAGCGAAGATCCTCCATATGGCGGCCATTTTCGGTGCCTGTATAGCGAGGGATCTGTCCCTAAGCACAGCGGGGAGCCATTTTGAGCACCCGGTGGCCATTTTGAAAACCCAACGATCAGCTGTTTTGATCGTCGTAATGCGAAGAATCGGTTCCTGAAACAGGGAACGGATCTTCACAAAGCAAAAAAACCCATTTAAAACATTGTTTTGCAATCGCAAAAACATCGTCGTGAAGCGGATTCGTTGTAATGCGGGGTAATCATTAAGCGGGGCACGACTGTATCTCCTCTAAATAAGGGAAGGCGAGCTGAGACTTAAGCGGGGCACGACTGTATCTCCTTCTCTAAATAAGGGAAGGCGAGCTGAGATAGGGAAAGAAAGCAAGAAGTAGAACTCTGTTACATATTGTTCTTGGTTCATTTTGCCTTTGTTCTTGTTTTTTTTTTTCAATTAATTCTGGTAAGCTGTTTCAGGTTAATTGTTTTAAAAGCTATACATTAATTTGCCCAATATGAATACTTCAGAAAGATTTGAAAATAATTGTTTCTGCAGTTGAAATAATGACTATAAGACAAGAGCCCTGCTGGACCAGATTAATCTAGCTTCTTGTTTTAACAACATGGCCAACAGTATACTGCCAGGAACAAAGAAGAAGAGTATGAAGGCCACAGTGTTCTCTTACTGCACTCTCTCAATGTTTAGGGGAACACTGTGATTTTCTATGAATTTTGCTAATCTGGATCTGATGAATTTTTTTGGCAAGATCCAAATCCAAGCATGCAGACTTCCATTTATTTAATGGGACTTCGTCTTCCTTTCCTGTCTCTCTTCTCTAAAAGATCTCTCTGGTCCCTGTAACATGCTTTTGTAGGCACAGGGAAGTGCAGGGTTAAAGGAAGTCATCCACTCCTCATTGCTGACAGAAGCTGTTCTTTGGAGGAAAGCTTATTGGAAGTTGCTTCAGGACAGACCAAAATGAAATTCACCCGACTCACTCTATAGAATTACTGCCATAATATGTTTTGATAGGCAGTAGTTTTCACAGCTTCACAAGGAATTAAAAATATATGTTAGGGTAGCTATTGAAGGGATATAGGTGACTAGAAAGGAAGGGAGAAGCCCAATTAAATAAATGGAAATCTGCATGCTTGACTTTAGATTTTACCCACTTTTGTAATGTCTAGAACTTCTAGAACTGTATGAAGTATTTCAAATGTGATCATGCATTTGTATAGAGGCTTCACTGTGCTAAGATTATTGATTTATTTGTTTGTTTGCTTGTTTGTAGGCTGCCTTTCTCCTGATAAGGGGACTCAAGGCAGATCATAATATTAAATAGAACAGAACTGAAACCACAATAAGTTAATCATTAGAAAACAAACTATAAAACATTCAACACCTTTCCACATAATCTAATATAGAATTAGTTTTACAGTTTCTGGATTGATTTTAGTATAATAGACCATGATCCCAAAATATTTTCTGATATACTGTAGAATGCACTACAGCCTAGCTACTTCTATGTCACAAGTTTCAATATACCTACAGACATTTCTTGGTTAGCAGCTGCCATGTAAGACTCTGTCAGTGTGTGTGTGGTTACAACTTTTTCTCCTGGTGTGCATTGAATGTTGAATCTCAGTTGTAGTTTTTCTGCCTGTTCACCTAGTTTGGAGATAGCATCTAAAATGAACACACCTGGAAGTCTGCGGGTGCTAAAGAAACCATGTTCATATTGAAATACTGCATTTTGATTAGAGAAGAGCAAATGTTTATGAGATAGTTACTGTTGCCGCCTTACAAGCACATTTTCCTCCGTATTCATCGGCCTTCTATCCCTGACATTTAGAGTAAGAAGGTATTTAACAAGAAGGTAGATTAATAAATTATGCAGCAAAACCTGAGGACAGGCTTGTTTTGTGTTCTTTGCTATGGGATGTAATTGTCCCACATTAATATTGTTTAAGCTAGACATAGTGTTTGAAGTAAATGCTTGCACATGAAGGCAATGTGAAGCCTAAGACGTGACACAGCAGGCATTTGGGTTGCAGTGTTGACATGCTCTGAAAACTCTTTATCAGTTGATCTGATTAAGAACAATAATTCCTTAGAGTAGTAAGTTATAACTAGAGTAGATCCATTGAATTAATGAGTGTATGAAGGAGCTGACTCACCAAATCCCTAGAGACTCAGTGGGCCTTCTCTAATTGTGACTTACTAAAATAAGCAGCAGAATTTAAGCCAATACAGTATGCTGGGAATTAGGGCCTTGGTCATAAAACTAAGTGATATCATTGTAGAAATGTTGAATTGATTGAATCTTTGAAATGTTACTGCTGTATGTCTGCATAATGTAACTAGAAATAACTTTCTTAAAAGAAATTTTCAAGCAGCTTAGTATGAATTTGGAGGAGAGGATCTGAGTAAATGAACTCTTTCATGAAATATCTGTAGACATTTTTAGATTTTATTGTAGAAGCAACAATGACATCCTGTGAGCTCTGTATAAAAACTTAGTAAAGAGAGCAAACGTAGTATAACCTCTCTGTTTCAAAAAACCTTAGTTTTTTTCACATCGAAAATGTGAGCTAATGTAGATGAAAGCTTGCCCTTTCATCTACATTACCGTATTAGATAATTTAGAAAGAGTGCTTGATACTATTGATGGGGTTTGTCACTTGCATGTTAGCAGTCTGAAAGATCACACAGTAGAACACAGGCAAATCAATAAAGAAAGTGTGCTATCATTTGCACCTGTTCTGCTACATCTTAGAAGTTCTTCAGAGTTTAATTAACAATTCAACTACCGTCTTCCACAGAGCCAAGAAGCCATCATTTTCATATTCCTTGAAATGTCAAGTTCAAGAACAGTCTTGCTTTGAGATCTTGTTGCCCCAAATCATCCCCAGTATGAGTTGTTCTGTATCTAAGAAAGTTAGAAGAGTAAGAAGAATTATGATGAATAAGATCAAAGGACTGCCTGGTCTGGCATTCTGTTCCCCGCAATAGCCACATAGATGCCTTTGGAAAGCTCACAGTACAGTACAGGACCCAGAACAGTATCAAGCAAAATTAGGCAACATTGGTTAGGATGTTATTACATAATTGTGTTGGTGTAAATTTCAGCAAATGTTGTCAGTTAAGAAACTGGTGTTTGTTTTCTTTTCACATGTGAAGTCACAATAGTACCGTGTGATGAGAAAAAGCAGCACAGATTTCATTGACAGAAATTTGCCACTCAAGGTTATGCTATAGGAGTTATAATGGTGGGCACAAGTAACAGGATTCTGGCCATGAAAACTAAGTTTAAAAACACAAATAAGATCACAAATCTATAATGAATAGAATAAAACTGACTGGCAGCTGGATATAATGAATTTTGATTGTGCTCTGAGAACCTGTGAAAACAGGCATGTTATTAACTGATGCTTAAATAAAACTTGGAGGGGCATTTAATTCTCTACGGAAAAGGAGTTTTGTTACCAAAGAGCCATCCTCTTGTCTTGGGAACTTGGAAAGTGAAATTGCAGTTTTGCAGCTTGGTCTATCTGAGTTTTATTGGAAGACTATGATCTTTCAGCTCCACAAAGATATAAGATACAAATGCAAACAAACAAACAAACCGCCAAACACTGTTAGCTTTAGAATAACAGGTTGACCACTAGCAGTGGTGAGTCAGATATCTGAAAGAGGTTGAAGTGGAAGGATTTTGGTGTGTTCTATCAAGGGGGTGAGATCAGGTTGCCATTCATTAGATTTAGAAGGAAAGAAGGAGACTGTTACTTAAAAACTGTGTTTCTACCTTTCAGATGAAACTTTGACCTTCCTGAAAATTGTTCCTGAGGATCTTCTGAATGAATATTCCGGTTACTCTCAAACTGCCTGAAATGGCAAGTCCAGCAGTCAGTCCTGACTCTTCCTCACATGAAGCACTCTCTTCTGTCAATTCCATGCCTGCGTGCTCCCCTACATCTGATTCTGAGAACCTCAGTCCAGATGAATTGGAGCTATTAGCAAAGCTGGAAGAACAAAACCGGTAAGTGCGTTCTGACCTGTGCCTAATGGGGACGAATCCATCCCAGACTGGTCTGAGGTTGGAGCCTACTGTTTATTCGGAACAATTAGGATCTGTCCAAAAATATTGGTTTTCTTGGTCTGACTTGTGTGGGATTGAGGTGTGTTCTTCCTACACATCAGTGGTGATGAGTACATGTGGGTGTGGTCTGGCTGTGATTGTGGATGGCATCCCCCATCCTAGTAGTAGGCATCCTTCAGTCTCGAGAGACTATGGTAATGTGCTCTGTATGGAGGACTTGGAACAGCGTCTAGTGTGGCTGAGAAGGCCAATTCGAGAGTGACAATCCCTTCCACACTGAAGACAAATACAGTCTGTCCCCTGTCCAGCTCCCTGGTTTTCCTCCATCCTATTTTGAAGTGAAAAAAGGCATTTTTGTTTTAATTTTATTTCTCTTTATTTTTTTTAAAGCTTTTCCATTATTATGCTGCATCACTTGCTATAAAGTTTAGGGCTGAATATGAAATCCTAGCTGTGCAGCTTTGCCTTTACACACATTTATTGCCTGCCAGTTTTGCAAAGTTGACATTGTTCAACATCTGTCAATGAAGATTACATAACACATCTGTCAATGAAGATGACGTAACACAATAAATAGTACAGTAAGGTTTAATGTTTATTTTTTAAAAAATGGAAGTGTATTTTGGAAATGAAGAGAGCCAAAGGGTCGCTTAGGACTCTTCAGCGATGAAACAGTGCAGCACTATGCCACTTACCAAAACAATATTTTTTAAAAAAAGGAGAAACACAAAGCTGAAACATGGCACTCAGTACCCCCTCTTGTGTGGATAAAAACGCAGTATTAATACCCACCCACAAGCAAACAGAAGCACCCTGTTTCCCAACTGGCTGACAGCTATTGCAAAAGAGAAGACAGGAGACAGAGAATGAGAAGGGAAGGGGCACATTGTGACCAAACAGACTAAAACAGTGATCTAACATCAAAATGTGATCAAATAAATTGCAGCTGCAGTAGTAATTTTCATTCCAAACCATTTCAAAGCAGCCAGGAAAAGATTGCTCCCTGTTGCTAATGTTGCTGTACCCTTACTAGGCAAAACAACAGGAATTCAGTTTTTGATATCCTTTATCACAGAGATTGATTGTAATGAAAGCTTTTAAAACTTTGAAGTCCATCTGTTTGTGATAACTACCTACCTCCTTCAGATGCATGAAGCAGATGAAAGCTTATATACGAACATCTGGGTTGATTTAAGGGCTGATTATTTTTCAATATTAAAACTGAAATTTGGCTTCTGCTAGTTGGAATGTTCCACATTAGTTGCAGAATAAGTCAGTGATAAACCACTGCTGAGCCTTTCTTAATTTGAAAACCCTATGATGAGACAGTCCAAAATGAAACAAGAGATAGTGCTGGAAGATGAGACTCCTGGGTCAGAATGCACTCCACTACTGGCGAAGATCAAAGGACAATTACAAGTAGCAATATTGCTAATTATCCAACTAAATTAAGGCTGAACGGATGTCTATTGGCTGATGTACACAGAGGTGAAAGGAAAATCTGATGCTGCACAACACACACAATTGGAACATGGAATGTGAGAAGAATAAATCAAAGTAAACTAGTAACTGTAAAGCAAGAAATTGAACATTTAACAGTGCAGTGCTTGATGTCAGTGAGCTAAAGTGGACTGTCCTGGGACATTTTCAGACTGACAATTACAAAGTGTTTTACTCTGGAAATGTAAAACTTGGAAGGAATGGAGTGACTCTGATACTGAGGGGCTATAATGCAATAACTGGCTGAATAATATCCATTAGAGTTCTGGGGAAACTATCAACATAACCACCTGTCCTCCAACTGCAGATGCGAAAGAAAATGAAATGTAAAGTTTTTATGCAAGCATCCAGGAGCAAATAGTTCACACACCAAAACAAGACATGCTTATAATCATAGATGCCTGGAACACAAAAGTAGGAAGCAAAGCATAACCCATGTTGTCAGAAAAATTGCCCTAAGAGTCAGAAACAAAGTAGGTTAATGACTTATAGAGTTATGTGAAACCAATAATCTGTTTATCACAGAAGTAGGGTCAGAGCCTTGAATGGAGCTTCTCAACGAATGTCATGTAGTGACACAGAGAACTATTACAGTAACCAAGGCAAAGAAATAGAGGAGAACACAAAAGAGGAAAAACAAGAGATCTCTCCCAGAAGATCCAAGAAATTAAAAGGGGATTTAAGCCTAGATTAGAAATGCTGAATGATCAACAGGGAAGCAGACTATCTTAGCAGGAGAAAATAAAGAGAAGGTGGAAACGGTGCACTGAAGACCTATACAGAAGTGTCAAAAGGAATGACAGATTCAATTAAAGAGGATTCCTGTGATGAAAAACCTGTAGTTCTAGAAAGTGAAATGAAAGCTGCTCTGAAAACACTGGGAAGGAATAAATGGCAAGGAGTAAATTGGATAGTGATGGAACTATTTCAAGCCACATAGACTGAATCTGCCAAAATCCTAACAAGGATATGCCAGCAAATATGGAAAACGGAACAGTGGCACACTGACTGGAAGCATTCAATATACATTCCAGTCTCCAAGAAAGGAGATGCCAAGGAGTATAGTAATTATAGGACTATTGCTCCAATTCGATGACAATTTCTATTAATACATAGAAGACATCTCTTCATCTAAAGAGGCACTGCTAGTCAAAAATAGCCTATCTTAACATTTTAGTTTGTTTTAATTGTACAGTATATCAGAAGTGATATACTGAAGTGAGTACACCCCCTTACATTTCATAAATATTTTAGTATATCTTTTCATGTGACAATACTGAAGAAATGACACTTGGCTACAATGTAAAGCAGGGAGTATACAATTTGTATAACAGTATAAATGTGTGGCCCCCTCAAAATAACGCAGTATAAAGCTATTAATATCTAAACCGCTGGCAACAAAAGTGAGTACACCCCTAAGTGACAATGTCCAAGTGTCAATATTTTGTGCGGCCACCATTATTTTCCAGCACTGCCTTAACCCTCTTGGGCATAGAGTTCACCAGAGCTTCAGAGGTTTCAACTGGAGTCCTCTTCTACTCCTCCATGATGACATCACAGAACTGGTGGATGTTAGAGACCTTGCACACCTCCACCTTCTGTTTCAGGATGCCCCACAGATGCTCAATAGGGTTTAGATCTGAAGACCTGCTTGGCCAGTCCATCACCTTTACCCTCAGCTTCTTTAGCAAGGCAGTGGTCATTTTGGAGGTGTGTTTGGGGTCGTTATCATGTTGGAATACTGCCCTGTGGCCCAGTCTCTGAAGGGAAGGGATCATGCTCTGCTTCAGCATGTCACAGTACATGTTGGCATTCATGGTTCCCTCAATGAACTGTAGCTCCCCAGTGCCGGCAGCACTCATGCAGCCCCAGACCATGACACTCCCACCACCATGCTTGACTGTAGGCACGACACACTTGTCTTTGTACTCCTCACCCGGTTTCCACCACACATGCTTGACACCATCTGAAACAAATAAGTTTATCTTTGTCTCATCAGACCACAGGACATGGTTCCAGAAATTCATGTCCTTAGTCTGCGTGTCTGCAGCAAACCGTATGCGGGCTTTCTTGTGCATCATCTTTAGAAGAGGCTTCCTTCTGGGATGACAGCCTTGGAGACCAATTTGATGCAATGTGCGGTGTATGGTCTGAGCACTGACAGGCTGATTTCCCACCCCTTCAACCTCTGCAGAAATACTGGCAGCACTCATACATTTATTTCCCAAAGCCAACCTGATGCTGAGCATGGGCACTCAGCTTCTTTGGTCGACCATGGCGAGGCCTGTTCTGAGTGGAACCTGTCCTGTTAAACTGCTGTATGGTCTTGGCCACCATGTTGCAGCTCAGTTTCATGGTTTTGGCAATCTTCTTATAGCCTAAGTCACATTTATGTAGAGTAACAATGTGTTTTTTCAGATCCTCAGATAGTTCATTACAATGAGGTGCCATGTGGAACTTCCAGTGACCAATCTGAGAGAGTGAGAGTGATAACACCTGCTCCCCCTTCACATCTGAGACTTATGGCACTAATGGGTCTCATGAAACCAGGGAGGAAAAATGGCTACTTGGGCCATATTTGGACATTGTCACTTGGGGGTGTACTCATTTTGTTGCCAGCGGTTTCAACATTAATGGCTGTGTGTTGCGTTATTTTGAGGGGACAGGACATTTACCGTGTTATACATACAAGCTGTATACTCACTGCTTTACATTGTAGCCAAGTGTCATTTTAAACCGCAGAAGCCTCTCTGCTGCAAGGTTGGAAGACCAGCAGTCGTAAGATCGCATCCACACGATGGCGTGAGCTCCCGTCGTGTATCCCAGCTCCTGCCAACCTAGCAGTTCAAAAGCATGCAAATGCAAGTAGATAAATAGGTACCACCACGGTGGGAAGGTAACAGTGTTCCGTGTCTAGTCATGCTGGCCACGTGACCACGGTAACTGTCTTAGGACAAACACTGGCTCTACAGCTTGGAAATGGGAATGAGCACCGCCCCCTAGAGTTGAACATAACTGAACTAAATGTCAAGGGTAACCTTTACCTTTACAGGCTGTATACTCACTGCTTTACATTGTAGCCAAGTGTCATTTCTTCAGTGTTGTCACATGAAAAGATATACTAAAATATTTATGAAATGTGAGGGCGTGTACTTACTTCTGTGATATACTGTACCTATATTTCAAATAGGTCCATAATTTTAGGTTATGTAACTCTGATATGAATAAGCAAGTGATGCTTAAGGTTCCAACAAAGGCTTTTATCTTATATGGAGTGAGAAATGCCTGATGTTCAAGCAGGATTCCAAAAAGGGAGAGATTGTGTTGCAAATATCCACTGGAACACACCACAGGATTTCAGAAGATTATTCTGTGCTTTATAGACTACAACAGAGTATTGGACTGTGTGGATCATTAGAACTTATGTGTTGCTCTGAAAGAAGTGGTTGTGCCTCAATACTTGATTGTCCTGATGCATAACTTGTATTGTGAATAAGAAGTTGCCATTAGGACAGAATATGGAGGGGCAAAATGATTTCCTATAGGCAAAGGTGTCAGACAAGGATGCATTTTATCCCCTTGTCTGCTCAGTCAGTAGGCAGAACATATACAGAATGACAGACTAGATTCAGATGAAGGAGGAGTGAAAACTGATGGAAGAAACATGAACAATTTAAGATATGAAGATGACCTCATCTTACTGGCAGAAAACAGCAATGGCTCGAAACAATTTCTGATGAAAGTGAGAGAAGAAAGTGCCGAATCAGGAGTGCAGTTGAACATGAAGAAGACATTAAAATCATGACTAATGAAGAATTACACAACATTGATATTGACAATGAGGAAATGGACATTGTTAAATATTTTGTATACCCTGGCACAATCAACAATCCAAGTGGAGACTGTAGCCAAGAAATCAGAAGAAGAATGGGACTCAGAAGGGGAGCAATGAAGAAATTAGAAAATATCATCAAGGGTGTGTCACTGGGTACCAAGGCCAAGATCATTCACACTATTTTATTTGCAATTACTATGTATGGATGTGAAAACTGGAGTGAAGAAAGCTAACAGGAAGAAAATTGATTCATTTGAAATGTGGCATTGAAGGAGATCTTTGCAGATACCTTGGACTGCCAAAAAATCACAAGTGGGCCCTAGACCAAATCAAGCCTGAACTATCTCTTGAGGCAGCAATAATAAAACTGTGGCTATCATACTTTGGGCACATCAGAAGAAGGCAAGCTTTGCTTGAAAAGATAATAATGCTCGGAAAAGCTGAAGGTAGCAGGAAAAGTAGAAGACCAAATATGAGATGGATTGACTCTACCCAAGAAGCAGCAGGAGTGAATTTACAACAGCTGAGCAGGGCTATTGAAGACAGGACATTTTGGAGATCACTCATTCATTAGGGTTATCATAAGTTGGAGGTGATTTGATAACACATCACAACAGCAGTTGAAATGCTCCACGTAAGTTTAAATGTTTACCAAAGCATCAGAATGCAACTATAAGCATTTCTATATTAATGAAAGAATGTCTTTTGTAGTTCAGCATTAGTCCAGTTGCTACTTTCCTTATGTAAGCAACATCAAAGAAGACAATAAATAGACTGATAGGTAGGTAATCAAAATTCTGTTGTTGTTGGTTTTTTTTGCTTTTTGTTTCTGATTCTTTTTCAATTTGACAAATTCTCAGATCATGTTAATGTAAATCTGCAGGTTTTAGTAACACTAGGTTATCCTCCATTTGTTAATTGTGCTTCTTGATTTTCTAATTGGCCATGGGGTGGCATCACAACATCAAATTGCAAAATATTCAGTAGACAAGGCACTGATTTTTGGTAACTTATCCTGAACTGAATTATTTGAAATGCTTGGCTTGTGATCCAAGTTATAGCAATATCCTCATTGGTCCTGACTCTCCTTCCCCACCCCCAAATTCTGACTCCTTCAGCTGTGATGATCAAAAGTGAGAAGTGGGTGAAATGTCAAGAATATGGTGTTGATGAGTTAGTAGAACTCCTGTTCCAAGGAGTCAAATTCTGTTGAGATAATGAACATGATTTCCATACAGTCATAAAAATACATACTGCGTTTGTGCATAAATGTATACAAATAAGCTACTATGGAAAATGTGACTAAAGACTGCAGAAATATAACATAACCTATTAGGGAATTTGCTTTAAAATTATTTGTAAAAGAAACCGAATTGAATATAATTTAATTCTCTAGTTCTTTGGACAATCACATTTATTCTGAAGGAAGGTTTTAAGTTTTGTTATATGGTGAAGCCAAGATGCATTTGAATCTGCACAGGATTTCTTAGTATCTTGGGGACCACTGAGCTAAGGGAACTGAAGAAGGAAGGAAAGAGAAAGACATACAGAGGATGGATAAGAAGGAAAGGGAAGGGAGGTGTGGGGAGGAATAAAGGCAGGCACTGATGGATACTGAGGCCAGAGTGTAAGCAGGAGAGCTCTCTCCCCCTTCTACCCCCCCTCCCACAGGAAACCAGCTCTCAAGCTGCACTCCCTCCTGGATCTATGGGTGTCCTTTGCACTCACCCCCTTTAGCTAGGGCGCCTGAGCAGAGACCCATCCCCAAAAGGATAGAGGGTGGGAGCATGAAGATGTCATCTGGGCTGCAGATGGGAGGAGAAGGGAACCTGCAGGGGGCCCTCCCCTCCTGCCTCTTACCTGCCCCCTAGCAAACTAAAGGCAGGATCTTAAAAAAGTCCTAAACGTTCTGAGTTTTTTCTGTTGTTTCAATATTTCAGGGATAAGGGAACTGAAGAAATAGCACCACTGCTCATGCTATACAAGTCTGCCCATAAGTGCTAGCATGCAACACTTGTGTACAAGAGAATTGCCAAGTCTGTGCACATGTGTGTGCTTTTGTAAAATTAACCCTTTAATGAAATAATTGGAGAGACCTGCTTATAAGGTATACCCACTTAGTACTGGTGCATCTATAGAGATTTAAAATCTAATCTGATTTTGGGTCTAGTAGGAATGCTGCTACTTATAGACAATGTTTCCCAGGCTTCTGGAAGCAGATTCCAAATCGCTGCGCTCCATGAATGGCTCCAGAAGGAACAGTGGGTCCTCTTTAGTCTCCAGCTCTTCTGCCTCATCCAATTTGAGCCATCTTGAAGAGGATACCTGGATCTTGTGGGGGAGGATTGTCAATGAATGGGAAGAATGGCGCAAAAAGAAGGAAAAACTTCTCAAGGTAAGGAGTGTGTTTGTCTATAGTAGTGAGAGTGGGCCTGTTTTCACTCTCTCTAAAATGGAGTACTGTAATTCTTTTTCCAGCTCTACATCTCATACTTGTGGACTAGAACATGTAATGATGGGAGGGGGGGTGAAACTGAGAGGATGTAGAATTGGCAGAGGCTAAATATTTATGAAAATAAAAAAAATATTTTTTTCCAGTGTTATTTTTGTACATAAAGCTTTAGAAAAAATGTATGAGAAATAATGGCAGAGAGCTAGGTGGGATGCAAGAACTCTCCCCCAGCAGGATATACATTCAGGCACCAATAGCAATGGCCCCTGATTTACTGCCTGGCCAGTTTGTCAACTGGCAATGGCTGAGGTGGGTCACATGGTGACCACCATTTTCCTGTGGCCAGAGTCTTCTTTCCAGAGAGGCCTTTGAGTCTTTTGTGGGCTTTACTAGCTCCTGGCCCACCCGGGCAGCCTGGGAAGGAGCAACCACTATCCACCTGAGTGGAAAGGTTTTCACTCTGGATACAAATTCGGCATGCTGAGCCTAATTCTATTTCAGGCCTTCTCCCTCCCACCCCCCCCTTGTTATTCAGTTGGGGTTGTTAGGCAGTGTTAAGGTAGAGCAATGGATTTCCTTTTCTTTGGGATAGCTTTGTTGGGGGTAGTTTGGAAGCATGAGGATGGATCCAGCCAAAAAAGGAGGTGGGCTCCAGCAGATGCTTGACTTTCCCTGTTGAGTCCCCTTCATGTGGCAGGGCAGAGAGCCATTAGCCTGGGACTCCACAGTGACACAGTTTTAAATGCCCACTTGGTTAAACCTAGTTCCAGTCACCTTGGTTCACCAGTAGCCAGCAGGGGGGTTGATTCAGGTAGATCCATCCTCTGTGCTAGCTCCAGGATTATTGGCAGCTGTTACCAACAAAATTGCAGCCTATTGTATTCTATTCTTGGTGCATGTGTGGTTTTTTCATGTCCTGCTGTTATCAACTCAGATTAATGTATTGTTATTTATTTAAATATTTATATGCTGCCTTTCTCCTTAGACTCCAAGGCAGCTTACAGTATTAAAAGAAAGAAAGTTAAAAACTAAATAATAAATTATTACAATATTAAAGTTTTAAACAGATATATTAAAACTCATAAATAATAGCAAAATTAAAAACACAAGAAAACAACAGAATAAAACATGGCCTCCTAAAATATCCCCTTGGTGAACCAGTCATTTACAGGAAAACCTGTGTGAAGAGAAAGAGAAATATGGTCTTTTAGATACTGTAGCTTAGTTCCAAGCCATTTAGGGCTTTATAGGTTAAAACTTGCACTTTGAATTGTGTCTGGAAATGAATCGGCAGCTAGTGGAGGTGCTGTAACAAGGGGTTATGTAATCCCCTGTTAACCAGCCATGGTTAGCCATCTGGCTGCGGCATTTTGGACTTACTGGAGTTTCCAAACACTTTCCAAAGGCAGCCGCAAGTGTAACGTTACAGTAATCCAGCTGAGATATAACTAAAGCATGTGTCACCATGGCCAATCAGAGACCTCAAAAGGAAGTGGCGCAGCTTGCACACCAGTTTTTACTGAGCAAAATACAAACCTTTTGATCCAGATCTTCCAGAAGGACCTCATAATTCAGGATGTGAGAAGGTTCAAATTCAGAAATTCTCTCTACTGAGTACGTTTCTCAATCTGACATGTTAGAAGGTGAATCCTGCTTCTCAACAGAAGTCGTAGTCACAATCAAAAAAACGATTTCCAATGTGAACCCGAGTTCCTCCTGGATCATGCCAAAGATTTGGAATTAGCACTCTTCTTGTGGTGCGAAGTTGAACTGTGATAAGGAATTGCACTACAGGATTTCCTCTTTAAAAAGGAATTTGTCATGCTTTGTTTTTCCTCAGGAGCTAATAAGGAAAGGAATTCCTCATCACTTCCGAGCCATTGTTTGGCAGCTTCTGTGCAGTGCCACTGATATGCCTGTGAAGAATCAATATTCAGAGTTGCTGAAGATGTCTTCACCTTGTGAAAAGCTGATCAGGAGGGACATTGCCAGGACATATCCTGAACATGAGTTCTTTAAGGGACAGGACAGTCTGGGCCAAGAGGTCCTGTTCAACGTTATGAAGGCAAGTAGGAGGCCCTGATGATCAACAAGCTTTGGAAACTAGTATCCAGTATTTGTTCTTTTGTATGCAAATATAAGGGTTTTATGAATTTAAATTACTCAGCTTACACATAAGAAGAGGTTTTCTAGTTGCAGAGAGTTCGGAAATGCCATCTCTTTCTTTCACTGCTATTATCTCCCTTGTTTATAAAGAAGATTATAGCATTTCTTAATTGACAACTAGTCTGGCATATGGCACTAAGACCACTTGCTTCTCAACTTTATTGGAGGCTGAAAGGGGACATAGCAGCCATTCCAATGCATGTACTAATTCTTATAAAGTTGTATCAGGAAATTATTAAATATCATTTAGAAAATGGAGTGAGCTAATGCAACTAAAAGGTAGATCTGTTGCAGGATTGTTTCTCTTTGCAGGTTCTGTGGTTCTCAGTCTAGTGGTGGCTCTCTGCCAGTCCTCCTCTATAAAACTTGGAGTGTTTTTGTATGTATAAAAGGTGTCATTCTCATCAGGAAGCATTCCTTGATGACGACATCTCATTTGATTCTTTGGCTACACGTGGCTTTTTTAATATCTGAAAATTCATAGGGAATCTAGATGACCATGCTTTCCAAATGTTACTTTCCCGTTATTATTGCTCCCATGTGGCCCACATGAATCTTGCCTGTCTAAACGGAACTGACATGTAGAAGTCTCCACAGCCCTGCCCTCATTCACTTACTTGAAAGCCTGTTGACTATAGAAGAAATGCTGTGCAGTCACCACATGCTGATTGAAACAAAAGTTGTGCAATTAGAGGAAGTGGCTCTCGGCACAGCTATTTGCATGCTGCTAGCTCCCAAGAACAGGAGTAGTTTCTGACCTGGATTTTGTTCAGTTTCTTATAGTAACGATATTAGCATTCATAATCCCTGAAGTAGAGGTTGTTTTGGCTTCTTGTTTTCATTTACCAACCCATTATTTAAATGACAATTTCGTTCACAAGTTCTTTTCACTGTTTACATTTTCTCTTAACAGTAGTGGGCTCCCTGAGGCTGCTACTGGGAGATTGCCACCATAATTGCCAAATCAAATTATCTCTTGCCAGAAATGAAAACCTATTGCAAATGGGTGGGATGGGTGATCAGCACCATGACCCCTGCTGAAGTACCAAGTGCATATTACTCTTATTATTTGTTTAAAATCTTGAATACCATCATAGGTGGCAATTGCTCTATAACATGAATTGCTAGGGCCTTTAAATTGGCTGAGATTGTGGGATCTGGCCAATTTACACACAATTTTCAAACAGCTTTCCTCCTGTATTGAGAAACTCTCAGTACAGGATGAAAGCTGTATTGACAATCCTGATAAAAATTAATGATCTTCTGCTTTTATTTCGATGAAATATAGGAACCATTATATTGTTTTAAAGAGTTGGTTGATTTTTGTAATGGGAGAGTGATGTTCCTTTACAGATTACTCTAACCTTATTAATGTTGATTAATGTTTATTAACCTTATTAATGTTGTGGTTTTGTATATTGCTGAACCCAGTCCTTGCACTTTATAACATAATGCAAACTATTTCCAGTTCTGTGTCTGAGCTTTGATATTGATAAATTAATTTTTCAGCTGCATAATATGTTTTAAACATATATAAATGAAGGGAAAGATAACAGTCTCTTTAGCATCGTGGAAAGCTGGAGTCAGCAAAGCCAATTGACAATAGCAAGTGCCCTCTTTGCTCTAACTGTGTCTGCTCTGGAATCTGATTCTCAGCAAATTTTATAAAAAACTTGATGAGGAGCAGGAAATCACTATGCTAGATATTTGATTAAAAACTTCTCTCCTCCACTGAGTCCTCTAGCCCATGCAGAGAACCTGAGGAGACCAGATCCCATTCGTGCCAATTTTTGGAGAAGGAAAGAAGTAACATAGGCTTTTTTCTACTTTTCTTTCCTCTTATGTTTGCAATGATGCTACTTCTCTATTGCTTGAAGTGTAGACCAGTGGCAGTTGCTCAGTTGGCTACAAAGACAGGCCAGTGTTTGTAGTCTTCTAGAGATAGAACTGCTCTGTTAGTTTATAATTTTATTTCCTAACTTGGAAAAGCTCATGCAAATTGCTTTTGTATTGTTTCTGTGCAAGTAGACCAGAGGAAAACAAGACATAGAAATTGAGACAGTTTGGTTATACTGTATTATATGTTCATCCCCCGCTGCTGGTTTTATAGGTGTAGGTGTGATTTGTGGAAAGATAAATGCTTAGGCTGCTGTACACAGATGCTGAAGCTAGGATAATTCCATCTGAAAGCTACCCAGCTTCTAAGCATAAAATAAATGTTCTAAGTTTTTATGGAAAAGCCAAAATATAAATGTAAGAAATACACAGCCAGGAGTTGCTGCTAATCACATCTAATCATTATAAAAGTATGTTTAATTCTGTGCATTGCCAAGATGAAAGCATTCTGTCCTCAGAATTTGGGGGCTGATGTGTTCCTTTGAAGATTTTTTTCAAATTGTGTGTTTCTCTTTACGCTATTTTAAAAAAATATTAATGTGTTCAGTTTTAAGGTACTAATGTTATTTTTCATTTGTAGAATTATGGCATGTGTTGGACTGCAGGAAGTCCTGTGCTTTTTGCTTAGGAATCTTCTCTTGGTGTATATCATTCAGATGCTACCAAAAACATGTTAGTGAAGAATGTGCATACCTTTCTTTAGGTCCTCTGTAAGAAATGGCTGTGGAATGCCAATATCACTTCTATAAAAAGCTAGCTGTAGCTGTTTAATTTGTCCTTGTCTATAGATACAGTAGCGGCTATGACAAATTGGCCTCATTAATTACTACAGTTATAAAAAATCTGCCTGCTTTCTCTTTGTATTGTGCAGTCCCCCTATTACTTCCCTTTTCAGGAGCAACATAATCTCTCACATCCTCTTCTAGGAAAGGAAGAGCTGACATCTAATTCCTAGAGGTTTTTCAACAGATCAGATCCACTTGCTGAGCTGGGCACTACTGTGTTTTCTTTTTTATCTTTGAAATTCAATTCATAACATTTGTTTTCTCTGAAATACTTCTTAATCCCTTGATATAAACAGGAATACAGTGGTGCCTCGCTTAGCGATCGCTCCGTTGAGCGATGAAATCGCTTTGCAATGGACTTTTGGCCATCGCTGGAGCGATCGCTTAGCGATGTCTTCTATGGCTAAAATTCGCTTTGCGATGATCGCGGGGAAGCGATCATGGCAAAGTGAACTTTTTAAAACAGCTGATTGGCGGTTCCAAAATGGCCGCTGCAAAAAAATGGCCGCCGCTGTTTTGCCTCACTGTAGAGGCACCCAAAATGGCCGCCGCTATGGAGGAATTTCGCTTTAAGGTAAGTTTTTAGCCCATAGGAACATATTAAATGCGTTTTAATACGTTCCTGTGGGCTTTTAAAAATCACTTAGTGATTAAATCACTTAGCGATGTTTTTTCCAGAATGGATTAACATCGCTAAGTGAGGCACCACTGTATAGGTGACATATCCCATGCCCTCTCGACCTTGCTACCCATGATAGCCTACATGCTTCATTTCTAGACTTATTCCTTTCCTCCTCTTGATGTTTAAAACACTTAGGATAAGGATTCAGATTTATTTGACTAGGTGGTTGAATAAATAAAACCATGTTTCAAAATGTTGCCTCAGAGCTGTATACCTCTAACTGTGCTTCAACTCACTTAGAGCATTTGATAGTTGTGTTATAAGATTTAGGCACGCTGACTTAGGCTTTCTCTTGCTTAAGTTTCCATCTCTTTCAGGCTTATTCTTTAGTAGACCGTGAGGTTGGGTACTGCCAGGGCAGCGCATTCATCGTGGGATTGCTCCTCATGCAGGTTTGTGTAACATGAGATTAAATGTTTGGCCCAAGCTCAAGTGTACCTCTTTACTTGGAAATTTCTAGACCTATTAAATCCTTTAAAATTATAGTTGATGGTATATTTGTAGTTTATAATCTAGTTCTTTGAACCTTTTATTTTATTTATTTATTTATATGATTTTTACCCCACCCCTCTAGACCATGTCTACTCGGGGCGGCTTACAAAATAAAACAAAACAGTATAAAAATACATAAAATCATAAAATTACACATTTCAATTTAAAACAATTAATTTAAAGAGAGGATTACAAAGATGGAATAGCAAAGAAAAAAAGAGAGAAAGACTTAATTGACTGGAGGGAAGGCCTTCTTGAATAATCACGTTTTTAACTGGCTTTTAAAAACACCCAGCGAGGGGGCCAGCCAAATTTCTGTTGGGAGGGCATTCCACAGCTGAGGGGCCACTGCCGAGAAGGCCCGATTTCTAGTTTTTTCCTTCCGAGCCTCTCTCGGTGTCAGGCCCCTCAGCCGTCCCTGCTGGCTATGGCGGGTGATTCGGGTAGATCTGGGTGGGAGAATACAATCTACCAAATATTGAGGTCCCAAACCGTTTAGGGCTTTATATGTAATCATTAACACTTTGAAGTTGACGCAAAAACGGATGGGCAACCAGTGCAAGGCAGCCAGAGTGGGGAAGATGTGCTGGTGTTTTCTCACCCCACTAAGAAGCCTGGCTGCCGCATTCTGGACCACCTGAAGTTTCCACATCAGCCTCAAAGGCAGCCCCACGTAGAGTGCATTACAGTGGTCTAATCTCGAGATTACGAGCGCATGGACTAGAGTAGTGAGCCCCCTCCAATCAAGATACGGTCGCAGCTGGGCAATCCGCCTTTGATTAAAATAGGCGGAGCAGACCGTGGACGCCACCTGGGTTTCCGTGGTAAGCGCCGGGTCCAGACATATCCCCAAGCTGTGAACCTCACTCTTTGCGGCAAGGGTCGTCCCCCCAAAAGAAAGGGAGTTACCTATGCCTCTAATGGAAGGGCCGCCCACCCTCAAGACTCTGTCTTGTCTGGGTTCAGCCTCAATCCATTTGACTGCATCCATTCCAGTACAGTCTCCAGGCAGCACTGAAGGGACATAACAGCCGGGTCCAGACATATCCCCAAGCTGTGAACCTCACTCTTTGCGGCAAGGGTCGTCCCCCCAAAAGAAAGGGAGTTACCTATGCCTCTAATGGAAGGGCCGCCCACCCTCAAGACTCTGTCTTGTCTGGGTTCAGCCTCAATCCATTTGACTGCATCCATTCCAGTACGGTCTCCAGGCAGCAGTGAAGGGACATAACATCCAGTGAGGTAGATGAAAAGGAGATGTAGAGCTGCGTGTCATCAGCATACTATGGCTCAACTCTCATTGAGGACGTGGTGGTGCTGCAGGTTAAACCACAGAAGCCTCTGTGCTGCAGGGTCAGAAGACCAGCAGTCGTAAGATCGGATCCACGTGACGGAGTGAGCGCCCATCACTTGTCCCAGCTCCTGCCAACCTAGCAGTTCGAAAGCATGTAAATGCGAGTAGATAAATAGGTACCACCTTGGTGGGAAAGTAATGGCGTTCCGTGTCTAGCCGCGCTGGCCACATGACCATGGAAGATGTCTTCCGACAAACGCTGGCTCTATGGCTTGGAAACGGGGATGAGCACTGCGCCGTAGAGTCAGACACAACTGGGCTAAATGTCAAGGGGAACCAATTCTCACTGCTTTATTAAAGTGGCTTCTTTAACAAAAGGAGAATTTCTATTAATTGCCAGAATCCTATTGGGATTTTATTTTAAAATAAATGAGAGCCTGATAACTGTCACACCTGGTCCACTGATGTTCCTTCCTCAGCACTCCAAGATCTCATGCAAAAATTTGTCCTGACCCTGATACCCATGGTGCTTTCAATTAGAGATGTGGTGGTTTGAACTGAAAGAACCTTCTTCCTGTAGAAGGTTGATTTTGTTGCTGCAGTAGCTTTTCTCTGTTGCATATTTTGCTTTGTTTTGCTTTTAAAAAGTGGAATCCATAATGACAGTAACATAAACCTGCTTTAGGGTTTGGCATTCAGTAATTCAGTAGAGACTCATTCTGCTTTTATCTTTCAGTGAGCTTTGGAGAGGCTTATGCAAGTGTATTTTTGGTTCTAGATGCCTGAAGAAGAAGCCTTCTGTGTGTTTGTACGGCTGATGCAAGAGTACAGATTACGGGAGCTGTTCAAACCCACCATGGCTGAGCTAGGACTCTGCATCTATCAGTTTGAGTACATGCTGCAGGTAAAAGACTGCCCCTGACAGGTGTCAAAAACTAGTCTTGAATTTTAAAAACGTTCTGAAAACATTCCAGCTTGCCTCCTACAGCTGTCTGACGTATAGGAGCTTATTGCTTGGGGAAGCAGTTAGGAATGCCTATTCCCATGACATTTACAGCCCTGTTTTGAACAGTCTATCATCCTGCCTAGGAAACTCCCAAAGTCTTAGCTGTGATGTTGGGAGGCTTGCTGGATGTTAAGATTAAAGGTTGTGTCCTGTGTTTTTTTAGGAGCAACTGCCTGAACTGAATATCCACTTCCGTTCCCAAAGCTTTCTTACTTCTATGTATGCATCATCATGGTTTCTTACTCTCTTCCTCACGACCTTTCCTTTGCCTGTGGCCACTCGAGTATTTGACATCTTCATGTATGAGGTAAAGTATTTGTTATAAAGGGAGAAGTAGAGCTTAGAGTGGCCAAAAGAGAAGTAGAGCTATTAATGGGCCAGATACAAAACATTACTAGGTGTCAAAGATATATTCATGGCTGCGTTTTAATATAACACCGTTCCATGCTGTACCATGTGGTATGGAATGAAGAATGCATAGACATAGTGTGAGGCTTTCAAAGGCAGGGAAAAAAATCTGAATGAGCATACACATGTTTCTCTCTTTCCTTCTGCTATTGCAAGCCAGCCTGCACCTAGGAAGTCAACAAAACTACTATCGGATGTTGCTTGTGTAAAAAACATTGTGGAAAGTTTCTGTTTTACTTTCCCTCCCTTGTCCAAGGTGCTAGTGTGTAATACAGTGTCTGAGGCATCCATTCCAGTAGCATAGAAAGGCAGGACAGGATAATGACAGCACTCTTGTCCCTGCTGGTTTGCAGCCATTTGTATTTGGAGGTATGTTGCACCTCATTCTGATCCTGACTAGCAGCATTTGCTAGCCTTATCATCCCTTGAACTCTTGACAGCAAATGAACCAGACATGCTATGGATGGTGTGTGCAGCTAGGTAGATGAGTTTAACTGGGAAAGCAAGGCATCTCATTCTCTTACTAGGTGCATCTTCTCAGCACAGAAAGCTACGCTGACATTTCTTCCAGATTGTGAGAAACTCATTTGGGAGAGTCTTAAGTTTTGTGGTGGCATGGTGGTGCTGCAGATTAAACCGCAGAAGCCTGTGTACTGCATGGTCGGAAGACCAGCAGCCGTAAGATCGAATCCACGCGATGGAGTCAGCTCCCGTCGCTTGTCCCAGCTCCTGCCAACCTCGCAGTTTGAAAGCATGTAAAAATGCGACTAGATAAATAGGTAACACCTCGGTAGGAAGGTAACGGTGTTCCCTGCCTAGTCGCGCTGGCCATGTGACAACAGAAACTGTCTTCAGACGAACGGTGGCTCTACAGCTTGGAGACGGTGATGAGCACCGCGCCCTATAGTCAGACTCGACTGGACTAAATGTCAAGGGGAACCTTTACCTTTACCTAACTAAATTCTGGTTACTTACAGGGATTGGAAATAATATTCCGTGTAGGGATGGCTCTACTGCAGTTCAACCAAGCTGAACTGATGCAATTGGACATGGAGGGGATGTCGCAGGTAAGCTTTACAGCCTGCTATAGGACTTAGAGGTAAACTTGCTGGTTATAACTAGATGCAGAGTTTCAGTATCAAGTTTCCATGCTGGAGCTGATGAATGAGAGAGAAAACACACACACAAACAAAATTGCTGAATTTGTTTTAACAAAATGAGTTGAGAATTTAGAATTGAAAAATCCTGAGGGGAAAAAAATGTAATGGGGACTGATTGAGAATGCTGACCCTTCAATTTCTTGGGACAGCGCTTCCTAAACTTTTCCAATTTGTGTCTGGTTGTTCCCTGAGGGCAAGGGCTCACAAAAAACTCGTAGAGAACAGTAGACCTCACATCCCACGTAGTGTGCCACCACTCAGTGTAAGGGGAAAATACTTACAATACTACAGTGTAGAAATGGAGAACAATGAAGTGACAGCACCCCAAAGGTAAGGGGATGTGGCAAGAGAAGGGGGAGACAGGAGGAAAGGAAAAAGACAGAGGAATTGAAAACCAACAGTCATGTTTGGATACAGAAATAACAAATGTCAACAAGCATGATGCAGGCTGAGCAAAAAGAAATAAAGCAGAAATGATATATAGCATTTCTGGAAGACCCATTAGAGAAGAGTGGTTTATGGTTTCCTAGATCAGGGGTCTCCAAACTACGACCCACAGGCCACATCCAGCCTGCCTTGGCTTTTTATGAACCTTTGGAAGACCCATTAGAGAAGAGTGGTTTATCTCTTTATTTCCCTAGATCAGCGGTCTCCAAACTACGACTCACAGGCCACATCCGGCCCACCTTAGCTTTTTACGAACCTCGGTGCATGCACGCATGGGCGTGCGAATGTGCGGGCAGGCATGTGTGCATATGCACATGCCTTCCTTCAGGCCTCAAAGATGTGGAGCGTATATGATGTGGCCCTCACACTGAAAAGTTTGGAGATCCCTGCCTTAGATAGATACAAACTGAGCAATATTATAAATGCTAGAAATGACATAAAGAGATTAGTGGGAGGCAAGAGGGGTGTGCTGGTTTTTCAAGTGTGGTCTCTGCGAATCACACTGCTGGGTGCCGTCTGCGCCTGCGCAGGGAACCTCGGAGAAAATTTGCTTGCACAAAGCTGTCTCACCAAATAAATAGTATCTAGGTTGAACTCTTATAATTGAAGCCTTCAGAGCTGCAGAGATAATACCTGCAAAAATGTTGATGCGTGAAAAACAAAGGCCAGTAATTAATAAATAGCAACTTTTCCATACAGTGTTTCTACTGAGGGATTTATGCTACGTTATTTTTATTATTCTTGAACCAAATGTAACTTGCATATGTCAGTCCATTGTCCTCATAAAGTACAGTATGGTTCTTTGAACCCTCTTGGTACTCTATCATCGTATCATATGTCAGTCCATTGTCCTCATAAAGTATGGTTCTTTGAACCCGCTTGGTACTCTATCAGCGTACCGTCTATTCCTAATGTCACAGGTAAACTGGCTGAGAAAAAAATGTTTTCTTCGAAGCTGCAAAGTAGAATTAACAAATGGGAAGAGAATCCAACACTGTATATTAAGTTGCTTTACTTAAGCAATAGGCATCTTCCTTGCTGTTTGTGAGAGCTTTTGCCAATAGAAAACACAAACAGTTACACATTCTGTTGAGGATACTGTGAGTGTATTTGAGAATGCCATGAAGCTGTTCTGTCTCCTTTCTACTGCAGCAGAGATTGTGTCACTTGATTTTGCTTTTCTCTGGTTGCACAGACTGATGCATCCATGTGCAAAGCACAAAGTGTTCTGTCTCACAACTTAATGTGGTAGGAGCTATTGTGTATGTTGAAAGATTTGAGATGCCTTTGAACTTCTGTCACATACATATATGTACACTGTCAAGATGGGTGACAGTTAAAATTGTGAAAATGTTTCAACGAATTTTTATGAATGTGATCCATAGGCTTTTTGTGTCCTTTCCCATCATGTGCAAAGCACAAAGTGTTCTGTCTCACAACTTAATGTGGTAGGAGCTATTGTGTATGTTGAAAGATTTGAGATGCCTTTGAACTTCTGTCACATACATATATGTACACTGTCAAGATGGGTGACAGTTAAAATTGTGAAAATGTTTCAACGAATTTTTATGAATGTGATCCATAGGCTTTCTGTGTCCTTTCCCATTCCTAGCTGATGTAATTCTAGACTGTGAAACTAGCTGATGTAATTCTAGCTGATGTAATTCTAGACTGTGCAACTATCAAGAAATAAAACTAAATAAGTTCGCACTTGTGGCAAACGTATTGTCAGGAGGAACATTCCAAAGCCTAGCTACTTCCATACTCCCTCTTAACTCAGTGAGAAAGAGTGTATACAATTAAAGCAGGACATTAGAAAAAAGCTTGCGGACTTGGGAGTCTGTCCTAGATGGAGCTTAACTTCAGTATTATCTTTCTCCCAGTATTTCCAAAAGGTGATTCCTCATCAGTTTGACAGCTGTCCTGATAAGCTCATCTTCAAGGCCTATCAGGTCAAATACAACCCTAAGAAAATGAAACGGTAAGATTTCCTATCCCCTTGTATAACTTTGAAAGGTTGGAAAGCACAGACTAACTTATATTCTTTGTAGGATATGGAGCTTAGGTAAAGCTGGATAGGATTGATCAGTTCATCATTTTGTGTCCTTTTGCTGCTTCATTAGAACGCCTCATATGTCTCATGAAAAAGTATCTTAGAAAGATTTTCTTAGGGCTAAAAACAGTCTCTTATGGCTATCAAGACCTCGTGATCAGAAGTACCTTCATCTTTTACATGTTTTTTATAACATGTACATTTAATTAATGTTTAAATCCCTCTACAGTTACACATTCTATGTGTAATTCCCAACATGGTACGTATATACCTACAGTTCACTTGTTTGGATGCCACTAGGCTCTTTGCCTCTCCTTATTCTTTATTTTAATTTTTTTTTAAAGAAAAGAAATAAAAACCCTGGGAGAATAGAAGACCGCAGACTGACACACTAGTCTTTTGCTCTTGGTTTCCAAAAATGATTCTGCCTGGTCTCAGAGGCTTTCTTATTTAAAAAAAAAATGGTGGCCATCACTTCATTCTGAAGTATACAGTACGTCAGTGTTTATTTTTTAAAAAAAGATAAGCTGGGAGTGAAACAACTGATGGTTTGCAGCTGGCTCTGCCCACCATGATAGCTAATTTTTTACATCATGCACAATACTTTCTCAAAAGGTGAAATGTATCCATCATCCTAAAACGGTTGCAGATCCATAGTTTGTATCACTGAAATATAACAAAATAGGATAACTAAATCTAAAATAAATTTTAATCCCTGCCCTAAATACATTCCAACAACATTTATTTTATAATCAAAACATTAAAGAGCTACAGTGGGGGGCGGGGGGAGAAGCTCAACCAGAATAGAATCTCTAGGACAGCTAGATCTGATGAAGGTGGGTGAGAGATGTTAGACTGATAACACCTTTGTCTACATCCTCTGTGTTTCTGCCCAGCAAACAAAACATATTCATATTGTAGCTTTCATCCCTGTGATAATTTACCTCCTTGCAGTTCATTTTCCATGGTCTGGTACCAGGAATGGGACTTAGAGAGAGGAAACTGTTCCTAAGTAGGGATGAAGAACCATAAGGGGCAGGGCTAGTGCTTCTCTGCATTGGCCTCAGTTTCTCCTGTTTTCAAGGTAAAGCTCCTCCACCTGCCCTTGGGCGGTGCTCTTGGCCTCAGGACTCAGCCCCAGCAAATACTGCCTGAGAGCACTGAAGAAAATTCTTGCTGTTCTTTCCAGTAATGAATAGAGATGGATACGTCTTCCAGTTCCTTCAGAGAGAAAGAGCTCTACGGGAAACCTGAATGTGCTGGATAGAGAGCCTCCGCGGCCTGTTGTAGTCGGCCTCTGGGTTTGCAGTTCCTCTCCCTTGGCTTAACGCCATTAGTGTAGAACCCTGTCGGATGTTGTGGTAGTACAGCTACACTTATTCCCGGCTATTGGCTGTGTTGGCGAGAGCTTGTGGTAACCCAACAACATCTTGCGGGGGGGGGGGGCATGTGTTCCCCCAGTCTTGTTGTCTTAGACGGATAATTGATAAATAAACATTGCAAACCTGGGAAGAATCAGGGTTCCCTTGCCCATGACCTCCTGATTGTTTAACTTTTAATCCAGTGTACCATCGTGTATATTATAGTAGCAAGTCAGAGTTTAAAAAGCACTAATTTCTTGCCGCCGTAATAAATTTGGCCCACAGGCTATGCTCACATGTTGTTATGTAAACTGAAGCAGGAGGAATGGTGTTCTCCCTGTTTTACAGACTAGAGAAGGAGTACACAGCGATCAAGAACAGGGAGATGGAAGAACAGATTGAAATCAAGGTACTTCTTCTGTCATGCATTCTCGTTCTTACACTATGCACTTCTCAGTAATACACAGGATAAAACTGTATGATCTCAGCTTATCACCTGTGTTTTTTCCAGAGATGAAGCCTCAAGACATTTTCCTTTGTCTATACTTGGGCCACACAACTCTTCCCATATCATCATTTCATACCTGTATTTAGAACTCCTGCTGTACAGGAGGCCCTTTTTTCTTTAATTTGCAGTATACTTTTCAAAAATGAAAGTGCAATGTCCACTGCTGTATAGACATTCTCATAAGTCAGAAGATCAGTTGATCATTTGGGACCTACGTACTGCAGACATTTAAGGAACTCCCTATTACTGCACTATAGACCTAACTATGGGGCATATGTGGATGTCGTATAACTTTTGTTTTCCTGGTTATTCAGGCAGCCTGTTGCCCGTGATGGCTCCAGTTTGGCATCCCAGATTTCAACATCATTTTATAGGCTGGCTGTTATTTAACAAAAGCACACGCTTACTGGTTAGAACACACACTCATTTTGATCTTGCTTGCAGAGGCTTCGTACTGAGAATCGCCTTCTGAAACAGCGAATTGAGACCCTGGAGAAGGTGAGGAGTGTACCCAACCGCATGAAAGTCCAATTCCTCCGGTTCCAGACTAGTTTGACTACCAAAAATGAGACCTTGCCCTCTCATCTCTCTCAATTGCCTGTAGAAACTACTGAGAGGGGGGAACACTAGTCCCTGCTGCATTCCTCTAGAGGGACTGTGGTTGGGATTTTTCTCTAGAGCCACTCCAGGAGTAGAAGATACGCTGTCAAGGCGTTACTACTTGGCTGTCACTAGGTATTTACGTTAACTATTCATAACACAGAGGTAACACCTTGCAACCTTTTGTCTTTAAGACAGAAAAAGTAATGTGCAAAAGGTATAGGCTCAATGACACTGATGATCGAAACAAACACACACAGTATCTTGAGCAAAAATAACATAAATGTTCTGGATATGTAGCCAGCTATCCTCACCTTCGACTGATTTGATTGCATGGCATTTGAATCTTAAAACTGTATGCTCAGCTATGCTGTGCCATATTTCTTGTATAACATTTTTTGTGCTCAGTATTAAACTTTTACATGAAAAAGGTAGAAAATGCTTAACCCCAATTTGATGTAGTGTGGAAAAAGAGATGCAGGGATAGTTCCCTTGAGGAGATCTTGGAAGATTGCCCAGAGACAGCTATTCTGTGGAATCCTGGCAATTGAGAGATGTACATGCATCTCTGTAGAATCTCTGGACTACACAAGCGTGGCATCTGAAGTACAGAGGTCTCTCTTTCAGTCTAAAAAGGAATCAGGATATTAGTAGTTGCAGGACTGAGTCCAACTGAATACATGACAGGATATTCCTGTGAGAAACCCTGTTTTCTTTCTTTGATGGACTGATGTAACCCTATACACTACCTTCATCACTCCAAGAAGGGAAGTGGCACACTGCAGATTTGTGACTGGTATGGAATGGAAGTTCTATTCTTGGGCTCCATTGGGGTCTTTGTTCTTTTTCTTCTGTGCTTCTAGTTATAGGTAGAGTGCTCGTGTGACCTTGCTGTTGTGTCTTTTTTTTCTTTCCTTTATCTTTCCTTCTCTGTCTGGATCTCCCTCTTCTGGGTCTGTAGGAGAGTGCTGCCTTGGCAGATAGATTGATTCAGGTAGGATCAACCTTTTTTATTTCCACCTATCCTCTTGATATTCCATTCCATTTCATTCCAATCCGGAAGAACTAGTGGCAACTTGCTGGGCACTTCCATCCAAACTAACAACTTTGCATTGGTTCTTAGGTCTTCTGTAATAGTCTTCAGATGTTCTTAAAAGGTTGTGCACATTTTCAGAAGTCTCATGCCATCACAGCTTAACAAATAGCACTTTGGAGGAGGCAGAGGATTCAGAACAACTGAAACTGCTCTTAGATCACATCAAACGCTGTCGTTACTTTGACTTGGTTTTTAAACAACACAGTTCATTTTGTATATTGCCTGAGATGCCTGTAGGCAGAAATACAACTCCTGAGTATTCCTTGGTACTAAAATGAAGGCTTAGTATGCAATCAGAATACAGGTCAAGTTAATTATAAGGTGTTGCAGTCAGAGTCTGAAGGTCACCTTGAAAGTGGCACAATCACATATAGTGGCATAATACTTGAAGCAGAGCAGTTCCACTGTGTTGTAATCTGACATTACTTTTCACATAATAATACTTTACCAAAAAATAGTCCGTCAGTTGCTGCAAATAATTGGATCTACATATATTCTTGCTTTGCTAATCTGTTTTACCTCCTCCTGTGTTAGTGTCCTTACAACACATGTTAATGGACTTTCAAAACACATACACCTACATGACTGTATCAAGGTGCAGGTTTTCTTCATTAGTGTGTTATGAATGTTTCTTTGCCTTTGAGTTCCACATTGTCTGCGTGACCAGTATGTGTGGATTCATACATCTAACCCAAACACATGTATGAGTAACTAGGCACCCTTGGTAATTCTGGCTGCAGAAAATAGAGAAAAGCAAAGCTGACTGGCTGAAATCCTATTGCACAGTTCTCATGCACAAGGAGAATGACATCATCACCAGCAGCACATCACAACTGATTAAAGATTGTGGGGTGCACGTGACTCATATGCAGTGTGATGAAGTCATATGTGCCCAAGTGTCCTCAAAGGAGTCATTTTATTGGTGGTGATTTTCCATTGATTATGACATCATTGTAGTTGTACCCGTAGCTGCACTGGCCAGGATTTCTGGGAATAGTTGCTCAAGAACATCTAAAGATCCAAGGTTGGGAACCACTGCATTAAAGGATTTTAACATGGTGATTGTGTGAGTGTATTCCTGAGACAATATACCCTGTTTCCCCCAAAATAAGACGTAACCTGAAAATAAGCCCTAGTATGATTTTTCTGGATGCTCGTAATATAAGCCCTACCCCAAAAATAAGCCCCAGTTAGGTGTAAGCCCCCCTCCACCATTGTGCAGCAACCAGACATCAACCATTGTGCAGCAAATACTGTCAATACATGACTGTATTTGAATAAATGTAGAAGGTTGTACATGGAAAAAATCCCCTGAAAATAAGCCCTAATGGGTTTTTTGGAGCAAAAATTAATATAAGACCCTGCCTTATTTTCAGGGAAACACAGTAGGTAGTGAAATTTAGAGTGGATTTAGGGCATTCCTACAGACTGGGAAGCTGAAGCAGAGGGATTAAGAAGTAAAGTGAGGAGGTTGGGTCATAACAGAAGAAGAGAGCATAAGGGAAAAGAGGAGCAGTTAAGCAAGGTGCTCAGGCTTATATGAATCCACAAACCAGTAAAATCTGGTTGAAGAGTATAAAACAATGTTAGTAACAAGTAGAGCAAAAAGAGTTCCAGCTGACTAACGGGTTAGTTAAAGAGATTATCAGACAGAGAGTAAGGAATAATATCTGCCCTTAAGTCTGTGTGGCTTGAGATCACATCTTTATAAGCAAGAACCCTGTTGCAAGGCGAAGCCAGCAATGCATTTTAAGTAATTTTAGGCGGGACTTTGTGACCTTACGGAGTCTCTTCTTGGATGTTATTTTTCTTACTACAAAACATAGTAGATTAGCCCTGCTATGTTTGGAGCGGGGCGCACGTGCTTATTCTGATGGATGAGGCCTAGGATATCAGCCACCGAATCCTATCCTAAAGATAGCACCTCTTCAAGAAGGGGACTGAGAAAAAACTATGACAACAAGTTGTCTATTGTGATTAATTAAAAGATTTGTTTATTAAAAGATTCCTAAAAACCAGTGATATCCCTTTTTCTGGGCGTAGTGTTCCTAACAAAAGCAATAGTTCTGTCTCTTGTTTCCTAATACTTCATCAGATCTTGTTTACCATGTTGCTAGGTTCAAGAGGGGACATCGTAATATTGCCTGTGTGATGCCTTACATTTAGGTGGTGAGGTGAGGGGTTGCGTTAACATACCAACAGAATCCATTCTTAACTAGACAACTTCCTCCATGTGAGAAGCCATATTCAGCTTTTGGTATATGAAGTGGGCGTTGGGAGAATATAGAAATATATGCTGATATAAAGTGAAAGTGTGTGTCTCCCATACCTCTTTCTTTATGTGTTGCACATTTCAGAATCATGGACAGACATGAGATATAGGCAAAATCGAGAACCAATTAAAAAAATCAACACAGACTGTTTTTTTACCAGAAGCTATCAGAGCTTTAGATGTTCCTCAACTTCAGCCATCGTCCAAGGGGACAAACTCCATGCAGTGTGTGGTTTTGGTACTGGTTCGATGCTAAGTACTAGGAAGAAACAGGAATGTTTTGCCTGAGACTCCAACAGTTCTCATGTTGTTAAGAAATAAGATAGTGTCTATCCGTCCTCTACAGATGCAATGCCAATACAGTACAGTTGATTCTGCTCTGCCACAGTCCTGGGCTCCATGAGATCACCTGAGGCTGTTTTGAGTATACGTATATGGCTCATATGTTATCATTGTCATGGAGGGATCAATCACCTGTAAAGAATTTTGCTAGCTCTGTTACTTCAGAAGAACTTAAAATATCTCATTGATCCATTCAACATAAGTGATGTAGAAATCAAAATTTTTGGACTTTGCAGAAAGCTTACCCTAGTTCCAAAGCCACCCCTCTGACAATGCAGGGTAAAGCCCTTGGTTTAGCTGGCAGATCAGGAACAATGGTAGATTTTACCCCATGTTGTTGCCTGGAGGGCAGTACCAACTATACCAGTACCTCTCTCTGAGGACTCTGAGTAGGACATTGTGTCAGTGGTCTCTCTAGATAATTCAGTGAGATGCTGCCCTGCTATGGTAAGCCTGATGCCTTGCTCAGAGGCAGAGTGAAGAATCAGTGTGATTGGTGCAGTGAAGAACTGAGCAAGAATGTACTGTAGCTAGTTCATCTCTCCAGGGAATCTACTAGGTTCAAACACTTTGTGCTGAAGGTCTCCTCCCTCCAAGTGTGGCATTATTAGTAAGGCCAGGTTGGAGACCACCTGTGCTGTAGGGGCACAGACTCTGGTGACTCATTTCCCCTAATGCTGGGAAAGGACGCTTTACAATAAAGCATTAAGGAGTGGAAAGATACATGATGAAGAGGGTTACAACATCTTTTCCACCTTGGGTGTTCAGTCTTCTAAACCAACTCTGGCCAGTGCTATTTTACTTACAAAAGCTGGCTATAGTTGTAACCACAGAGTTAGCTTAAGTGTTTGCGAGAATACTGGAAACTAGGTAGGCAAATGAATCCCTAGTTTGGTACCAGATTGCAGGCCTTTCCCCATCCTGTCCCAGTCAACAATTTTTCTTGAACATTAAGCAAATGAATCCCTAGTTTGGTACCAGATTCCTGAATCCCTAGTTTGGTACTGAATCCCTAGTTTGGTACCCCATGCTGTCCCAGTCACAATTTTTCTTGAACATTAGGCTTACAAAAGGGGATGACTTGGGAATCCATGTTTAGTGGCAAAATGATGGATAAGCATCTCTTCTCTGTATCTCATTGTGGTATGAAAAACGGGAGCTTCCCATTTTTCATCCACATGCTTACAATGAAGAACTCCCTTCTGTTCCATCTTGTTCTACAAGGTATAGCAGACCACTATAGGAATGTTTCAGTGGTGCTCTGGTGGGTCTCAGACAGTCATCAAAGGTTTGATTACAAGATCTGACGGAGTTGTTTGAAACCTTCTGCAATGAGGAAACATGTGGGGGGACATGTTTGGTGCACATATTTTTCAGGGATCAGGAAGAAACAGCACTATAATGCAATGGCCATAGTAGCATGCTTGGAACAATGTAGGAAATGTTCAGACCTACTTTACTCTTATACATACCTATGACGCTTACGCATACCTATGAACAAGTTATATTATAACCTGACTACCACACTGTAGGGCTGTGAATCTAAGCTACTATTCAGAGTTCCTCTGGGAGAAGACATAATGCAAATACCACAAATAAATGATCCACATAAGACCTGATGAATAAATCTGATCTCTGCTTCTGGGGAGCATGGTCACAATGAGCAACTGTAAATGAGCAACAGGAGTAATGTGGCAATATTAATAGTTCTCTACAATGAGATCTCGTGTGTTAAAAGTTTGTCTAGAGCAGGGAGAGGAGGTCTCATATGCTCTTCACTCTCACCAATGGATCAAACCAGAGAGTTTGATCCATCCTTCTTTAACTCACAGTGGGAATTGCATAGGTTAAATGCAGACCCCCCCCCTCATCACTTTCTAAAAATATGCTCCCTCAAACCAGAAGGATCTCACTTGCAGAAGTACAATTCTCCTCTAAAACAAGGGGCCATTTTTATAAACCAAAAAGAAAAGAAAAGAAACCCTTTTAACAAAATGAAGCAACATTCTGCTTAATTGTAGTTTTTCTGTGGAAACTTGATGCAGTTTGTAGTGGATCTCAGGGGTCCTCGTAGAAAACGGCCTCCAGACACTATTCCACATTTGTAATGAGAAGGCAGAGCTACCAAGGACAGCATGTAGCTGGTCATCATTAGGAATATCCCAATCAGTTTCATGCTTCTGGTTTGGTTCTCTTTTTTCCCATCACTGGGATTTTTTTCCTTTTATCTACAGTAAGACTGAGGAAGTACTACCCAAAAAGTTCTTTCTAAAGACAATTACCATGAATATTATATTTTCACATCATATGCCACAAAAAGCCCTAAAATATCCCAGTTTCTATGAATTACAGTTTTTACCTAATAACAAGATATATATTTCATGGAGTTGGAATGGGAAGGCCTCAGAAATCTCGGTTTCTCAACCTCTCTCCCTGCAAGCTATCCTGATTTTTGCAAAACAGAGGGGCCCATGTTGAACTTGTGTGTTTAGACACTGTTAATGAGTTAAATGTACAAATTTGGGTGTATGATAGTGATGATAACACAAATAAAGAATGTGATATAGCTTACATGGACTTCCACCTACCATGAAAGTGCATGCTGGCAATCACAGTAAAAACATGTTGTACACCAGAGGTAGGGAGCTGGTCACTCTCTAAGTGGTGCGGGAATTCAACTTAAATGTAAAGTTTCTATATGTAAAGCTGTCCTATTCAAAGCATAATATGTTATTGATAAAAATTCTGGATTAGTCTTCTACCTATAAAATACCAGCTTTGGTATATCCAAAGGTTTTTAATGTATTTTCAAATGAGCAGTTGCTTCAGGTCATTGTATATAATTTAGTTCTATGTAGAACTTTACCATGGGTGGTTTTGTGTGGTGTAGTATATAGGGGGATGGACTAGGACTCAGTTCAATTCCCCCCTCTGCCACGGAAACTCATTGTGGGGAGGATGGAACTAGTAAAACTGCTCACTTACCTTGAAAAGCCTATTAGGGTCGCTACAAGTCAGCTCTGACCTGATGGCACATAACAGTTTTGGAAAGTTGAATCACTCGGTAGCCAACCTTCAATTAAAAATGCAGGGACAAATGTAAAGTCTACTGACATGGTTTCTCTTTGGCTATGGCTGGTACCATAGCAATGCTTCAGGAATCCTTGGTGAGAATAAGGATGCCAAGCAGTCATTTAAATGCTCTGTTTTTTTGCTGACTGCCATAAAATAAATGCCCATTCTATATGTGTCATGTTTTGTGCTTTTCTTCAGAAAATAGCTTCTATTCTGTCTGCTTTTCAGGGTCAAGTTACCCGTGCACAGGAGGCTGAAGAAAACTATATAATCAAGCGGGAGCTAGCAGTAGTTAGGCAACAGTGCTGCTCAGCAACAGAGAACTTGCAGAAGGCACAAAGCACCATTCGGCAGCTGCAGGACCAGCAGGTAATGGAGTGACATTACCAATGAAAGGGCAATATAAAGTAGGCTGTAGGACAGGAGTTTAAGAAGTGCTGGATAATTGAGAGTAGAATTAGTATATTATAAATTAGTTTTATGTCATTTGTGCGTATTTCTGTTGTGCACCAATCAGAGTAGCAATTTGCTTGATGGGTGGTATAGAAATTGAAGGAAGGAAGGAAGGGTTTGGACTGGTGGAGGTAGCTTTCTCTGAAACCATTCCAAGCAAGCAAGGTAGGCCTTTCCCTTTCCCTTTTGCTCTAGTTTTCTGAGTGAAGTACGTGGATTTAATATATTCACATTTGTTGAATGTTGATATGTTGGCCTAGATAAGAGCCTTCCTTAACAAGATGCTGTCCAGATATATTAATCTAAATTCCCATCATTGGCTGTGCTGACCTGGAGTGTTGGGCATGATAATCTGGCACATCTAAAAGGCTAGTTTAGATTGATTGTAGGCTATACAATCTGTTTGCCAGTGGTCTTAACTTCTCTGTGTTATAGCCAATTACTGAAAGCCAGATGACACATAATAGGAGAGACCTGTAAATAGTCTCCACACTTTAAAAAAAGCACAATCCCAGTGAATAAAGGCGGAGAATGCTTAAGGCCTTTACTGTGAGTCATCAACTAAAATCTTGTTGCCATAACTTATACAATGCAAGGCTGATGACATCATCAGTAGTGGCATTTTTTAAAGAAACTAAACATTTCAGACTTCTGTGCTAAAAGTCCCATGTACTCTCTTTTGTCATTGAGAAGTTGTGGGGCTTACAGGACAGGAGGGAGAAGTGTTTAGTTACTGGAAATTGCTGTCACAAGTAAAGTCATCCCAGTGGCAATGATTTTCAGTAATTAAATACTTCCCCCTCTTGTCCTGTAGCTCCCATGGCTTCAAATGATAAAAGGGAGAAGTTACAAATGTTTACTGCTGATGACATTAGCCTTACACAGAATAAGCTCAAACAACAGAATTTCTCCTATTGTCTTGTTATAGTTACTTTCCCTAAACTGCATTATCTTCCTGGGATTGAGAACTCTGTACAGAAGGAAATGAAATTTTGACTGGGAAGATGTCCTGTAGAAGATGTATTAAACACACACACCCTTAGTACTGTTGCAGTGGAAGTCATATTACCTTATAGCTCTATGTCTGTTAAAACAGGCAAACAGCAACATTGGGAGGCTATTCATGGTTCTGACTTCCAGTTGTGAATCTTTCTATTCCCTGCAGTAACAAATAGGAAAGAGTAAGGAGACTGTGTTTATTACTTGATAGACTTGTTCTGATTTATCTTTGTTACTCATTTTGTTCAGGGAAATCCACGTTACTCTGAGGAGTTTGTGAGTCACCTGGAGACAGAGCTTGAGCAGTCACGCCTTAGGGAGTCTGAGACTCTGAGTGCCCTTAAAGAGATGCAGGACAAAGTGCTGGATATGGAGAAGGTACTTTCACTAAAGAGGACTGATGTGAATGCCTGCCTACCTGGAAGGCAACCAGGACAGTAATCAAAATCAGTAGCACCTGCACTATCAGAAGCCTCCTAAGGAGAGAAAAAAAATTATGTAATGAAACGGAAAGCTGCCGTTCTGAAGAATGTTAATGTATAGGATTGGATCCATAGTTAAGCATATACAGCAGGGCTGGCATGAAGGCTCCCCTTCACAAATACACCAGCCCTCTGACAGTGCTATGCACAGAGTTTTGAGGGAATGCCACAGAAGAGTTTGAGCTGGGGCGGGGGTTTCTCTAAAATTTGGTCATCTTCTCTACGCAGAGCTGTTCCATCGGTGGAAGACAGATTTTACCTAGAGCTACTGCGTCTCCTGCCAATTACTACTAATCTGGCAGATATGCTTTAGTGTTCAGGATATATCTTAACTTCTTCATGGCAAGACACATTCCAGGGGATCTAAAGCTTTAAAAAAATAATAGGGAAACATCATCTTTCAGTCATTTTTCCTCTGCAGAAGTGATTAGAAGTATTCATGCTGAGGCTCTGTAGCCCAAGCTTTATTTAAAGGGTGCATTTTATTTATCATGGCAGACAGAATATTGGATGTCTGAGTGTTGGCTTGGGCAAGAATCCTTACATCATCTTCCCTTCTCTGGTTCCTTTGCAGAAGAACAGCTTGCTTCCAGATGAAAACAATGTGGCACGTCTGCAGGAAGAATTGAAGGCTATGAAGGTGCGGGAATCAGAGGCAATGAAGTCCTTCAGGGAGCTTCAGCAGCAGGTGAAGGAGCTCAATGACAACTGGCAGGTGGGTCTTACTAGAATGATTGTCCAGCTGACACTTCCTTGTCACTGCAGATAAATCCCATTACTCTTTTTCCAGCTGCACTACTGTATGCATTTTTACAGAATGCAGGGGCTGGTAATTTAATACTTCCTGTTATGTGTTATCAAATTGGAACCAACCTAAAATGACCCTAATGGGACTTTCAAGGTAAGAGAGATTTTTAAGGAGTGGTTCTATCAGTTCCATATACCCAGTGAGTTTCAATGGCTGAGCAGAGATTACAACCAAGGCCTCGTGAGTCTTAATCCATCACTCTGTCCACTACAGCACACTATGTATTTCTTTAAAACTGCAAAGCAGTACATTGGAACTGAGCAAATAGAGGTCTTCGTAATTAAAAGCTAACGAGCCTAACTAGGAAACTTGCTGGATACATCAGTGAGTTAGGTATCTGGCTGCAGACTCAGAGGTTGGAAGATCAGTTCCCAACTGTGCATCCCAGTAGAGCCAGCCTATGTGGCCTTGGGTGAGCTGCACAGTCCCATGGCATCTCCAGAAGAAGGGAATGGTAAACCACATCTGAGTACTCTCTACCTAGAAAACCCTGAAAAGAGTTGTCATTAGTCAGAACTGACTTCACGGCACAAAGGTAGAATTGTTATTAGACAAATCAAGGCAATCATAAAATAATGTTGGAAGGCCATCAAGTCCAACTCCCAGCTCAATGCAAGCATCTAAATCAAGGTAAAGTGACAGATAGATGATTTTCTCTTGAATGCCTCCAGCATTGGAGTGCTCATCACTTCCTGAGGTAATTGGTTCCATTGTTGTACTGCTGTAAAAGTTAGGAAAGTTTTCTTGATGTTCAACCAAAATCTGGCTTCCTGTAAATTGAGCCCATTATTACATGTTGAGCAGAGATTAAGGACTTGGGGAGCTTAACATATTAGGGAACAATTATCAGGGTTGCCAAAAATGGCTAAACTTCTATATGTAGCAGCCAATAAATAGTTATTGATGAAGCGGAAGGACTCATTGGCAGGACGTGTGGAGGGCATGCAAAAGGTCTAAGGCTTAGTACTTACTTACCATATCCAAATAAGGTCAAGAAAAGCCCTTGTCTGAGTTTCCTGAGAGCTACTGCCAGCCAGTGCTGCCATTTGTGAACTAAATAGCTATAACTGGGGTTTTGCTACATGACAATTGAAAAGAGTGTTCTGGGATTTCAGAAATGCCTCCAAAAGATATATTTTAAAAGCAGCATGGGAGAAAGGGGAATCACAACTATGTAAAGGTAGAGTACTAAAAGCAGTGGGTAGTCTATATAGTCAAGAAATATAAACAAAATTGAAAAAAGATAGATGTACAACTACATTCTTTTAACTTTCACGTTATTTATTGAGTATATTTTATTTATTTTATTTATTTATTTATTAAATTTATACCCCGCCCCTCTAGACCATGTCTACTCGGTAAAGATGGTAAAGAGAAGTTTGCTGTTAATGAAATGATGAAAGACAAAGAAGCTATTAAAAGCTGATGGAAGACTTAATATTAAGGGATAGGTGAAAAATTAATTTGATTACATTTTAAGGTGAACTTGTCAAATAAGCACTTGGTGACCTATGCAACAAAAGTGATGGGTAAAATGTTACTCGTATTTTTCTTCATTTTGCAATGCAGTTTATGAAGAAAAAATACCTGTAATTCATATGGTGGGGAACATATGCACAAAAATGAGTAACTTAGAGGGAATGCATCCAAACCTGTGTGGCTTATGAAAATCTACATATTTAGAAAACATGTACAAAAATGTGTGTCTTTGGAAAAAAACAAAAAAGGGATATTTTTGATGGATGTGAAAATATATATTGATGTTCATACACTCCTATCCAAAAATATGCAGAAATAGAATAGAATGAACCTAATGATGAAAAAGTTTTTTTAAAAAAACAATTAATCTGACAGGTTTTCCATCTCTTAGCACAAAACTGTAAAGATGAACCAAAAAAATGGCAAACTATGCATGTGCAAAGTTGTAAAATGCTCTTACCACTGCTACTAATATGCTTTTGATATTCACAATATACTTCATTCTTAGAGACATGGAAGATAGGAATGAACAGGGAATCTAATGTTCCCATATTGCTTTGTGTACATCTTATTTTCTGTGTAATAGAAAATGGTCCTTGTCAGAATCTTGAGCATGTTGATATGTCATTTTATCCAATAAAGTTATTATTATCTGTGGGGGTCCTTTCCCTTTCTTGACAAGTGCTGGAATAGCATCATAGTCTAGTAGTCTGTTCTGTTGTAACCTGCAGAGCGTTGCTTGATTCCCAAGCTTGTCCCTTTATCATTCTGTCCTTCCCCTTCTAGGCCCATCTAAGCCGAACAGGAGGAAGGTGGAAGGACTCCCCTCGTAAGAACACTATGAATGACCTCCAAGATGAATTGATGAGTCTCCGTCTGCGTGAGACGCAGGCACAGGCTGAGGTGCGGGAGCTGCGCCAGAGGGTCGTCGAATTGGAAACTCAGGTGATTGGATGACTTCTTGTTATCAGAAGTGTTTTGTTGTGTTTTAATTGTGGCAATTCTTCACGAACTCCTTTTTCCTATCAGTGCCTACAGTTAGGAACTTTGTGTTTCTTCTTTTTCACCTCTTATAGAAAATGGAAATGGAAAAGGTAAGGGAGGAGAATGTCTCTGTGTTGAATAAACTGAAAGGTTGGCAGGGAAGCATGTGGTACACAGATGTGTTCGTCATGTGTGTACCAGGCTATCAGTTTGCTTTTATGTGTGTCTTCCAGGATCAGATACACAGCAATCATCTAAACCGGATGGAGCAGGAGTGTGCTGGGCTGCACGAAAAGGTACAATACCTCACTGCCCAGAACAAGGGGCTACAGACTCAACTGAGTGAGACCAAGCGCAAGCATGCCGAATCTGAATGCAAGGTGAGATCTCGTGTGATATCTCGCACTGTCACATGCTGTTTTCCCCCTCTCCTCTGCTACAAATACATGTCATTTGATTATTGTTTGGAGAATAGGAATTGGGAACAGAAATTCTATGGTTTGCCAGGGCTCCAAATCCACTTAGTAGTACAAATAGATAAATAAACAATTTTTGGACTTTGGGAATTATAGGCACTGATATACTGTAAGATGAGACCAGAATCCATGGCTTTAGATACTGTCTTACCTAAATAGAGTTCTCCCTCTCCATGTTCCTGAGCATTCTGGACAATTCAGTGATTCACCATGGGCAACATAGTGCCTTCTGCTGCCAGGCGACACTGCAGGTGATCAGTTGTTGGTTCTTTCCTGGACTCCATGGAGGGTGGGTCTTCCTGCTTGCACTCTGCTGGGCTTCTGCCATGGGATTCCATTTTCTGTTGCAGAGCAAAGAGGAGGTGATGGCTGCGCGCTTACGAGAAGCTGATAGCATGGCTGCTGTAGCCGAGATGCGACAACGAATTGCTGAGCTGGAGATCCAGGTTAGGAGCTTGGCAGCATTAACTAACAGTGATCCTTAGATCGTAGCCAAAGGAGCAAGTTGCCCCACAAAAATTTGTTTCAGTTGTAACTACTTGCTCTGCAGTTGAGAGGTGAGGTGGGGAAGAAGGATTAAAATTAAGAATAAAAATGTGTCTTATTTAAATAGTTATTACAAAAAGCACACTTTTTGTTTCTTCTGATTACTTATACTTTGAGGTTAGTCTGAATGGTAGTGGGAATTGTGTGTATGATTGTAGTGAAAGGCAGAAGAAGACTGGATCGTGAAAACTGACATTATAGTTCCATGAAGTTAAATTTCTGTGATCTCTTTGGTATCATAGCAAACTCAGCATTATCAGCCAGAATCCTATTATGTCCACCAGTGTGAGTCAAATGGAGTAAATGATTGCAGTGAATGTCTGCCAGCAGAGAAGTCAAAACGTATCTCTTGTTGCACATACCAGTCGTGTGGCTTGGTGTACAAGAGGTGCAAGTACCATCTTCTTAACTAGCAGCAGTTTGTCACTGCAATTTACAGCAGTTGGCTTACTTGGCTGAGCCAAAACCTTCTGACAAGACCACTAGAAGATAGTTCAAGTGTCATCTAGGAAATGCAATTCTAGGTAAGACAAGAGTGAACTTTATTGTAATGTTTTCTGCCAATGACCCTTGAAAATTCCCTCTCCTCTTTGTCCTTCATACAGAGAGAAGAAGGTATGATCCAAGGCCAACTCAACAATTCTGACTCTTCCCAGTATATCCGTGAACTCAAGGATCAGATTGATGAGCTCAAGGCAGAGGTGAGCCTAAACTGCTGTGAGGAAGAGGAGAAATCTGGGAATGATTCAGGTTGTTTGGTTTCTGGTGCCTTCTCAGTTGGCCCCTGGAAGCCTTCTTTGCCAAGTCACAGCTGCCTCTTTCTGTGGGGGCCCTCATAACAGAGAACAGGCAGAAGAGATGGCAGCTTGTAGGTTTCCTCTAGGGCCTGCTGGAGATTAGACATTCTCTTTTAAACTGTGCATCAACTCAGTGTGTTACATAAATGCCAATCAGAACTGTTCCAGGGCACCACTATAGAGGGGAGGCAGGTTCTTAGTACCAGGCCTTCTCAGATACGCAGATTATTTCACTGGATAAGAGTTAGAGTCTTGATGAAAGTAGCAGAGTTCATATATGTGACTTACAGATTCCCTCTGATCTGTCTTCCTCTCACAAATCTATAGACAAGCCTAACCTCTCTGCAGAGTATGGATCTTGCTGCACTGGGCCCTTTGAACACTTTTTTTAATCTTTTGCAAGCTGAGGAGCACAGATGGTTATTCTTCGTGGCCTCTGTGAATTACACCCTGAGTGATTCGCGCCTGCGCGGAGCCTCATCAGAAGATTCTAGAGCTTCTGCAGTAGCAATAAACACATTAGAATATGCCCCTCCCCACCCGTATAAGTACCTTGGCGCCAAGTGTCCCCTTTCAGTTTCTTTCAACTGCTGCGTTGAAAGCCTCATAATTCTGTTTCTGTGAGTAAAAGAGAAAGAGAGCTCATTCTTGATTCCTTCCTGTTATCAATCTTTTTTCTTTTAAACTATTAGATCAAACTCATTATCATCAGAGATTTTTCCTTTCCCCTCACTTGGCTTCCGGCCGCAGAACCCCGCCCCCAAATCATCGGTTTTTCTCCTCAATTATTTTCTCCTATTCATAGCCCCTTTGGGCCCATTTAAACACTGTGTTGTCTGTGATAATAAGATCCCACTTTCTGATGGACACACTAAGTACTTTTTGTGTTTGGGAGAGCAACATCAAACTTTTTCCTGTACCCATTGCAAAAATTTTAAGCATGGAGTTCTTCGATCTCGCCTCTCGAGGCTAAAACTCCGACTTTGGGAACAATCCTTACAACCAGTTCAAATGGCCCAACTTACCTGTAGGGCCACTTCCCAAACTGAATCATTGAAACAACATCCATCGGCTACACCAGCTCATTCCAATTCTCCATCTGCATCATCTAAGACCTCGAAAACACACAAATCAAAACCCTCGATACCGAAATCCTCGACTTCAAAAACAACTTCTAAACGTCAGAGACCTACTGAAGCTGCTCCAGCTCCGGAGCATGTTCCTCTTAAACGAGCTAAACAGTCTAAGCCTACAGACATTCCACCACAACTACAACTCTCTAAATCAGTTTTGTCTAAGCCTACAGACATCCCACCACAACTACAACTCTCTGAATCAGTTTCGGTCGGATCTCTCTCAGATGATGACAGACTTCCGTCCCATCAACCCTGTTTTCAGTCTCCAGAATGGGATGATAGAGTCGACTGACTAACGTCCTCTCCTCCCAGTCCACAACCTTCTATTCTTCCAGCAGTCCTTCAGTTATTCCATCGCCCAAGGATTCCCATCCCGAGCGGCTCAACACCATTCCATATTCAATGCCCTCAGATCACCCACTGATCCCTAACCAGAACCGTCAACATCAACAATCTCGACAGCACGCTTCATCGCGTATGGTTCAAACCCATGCTCAGCACATGCATCGGGTTGCCATTTGCAGTGCTCTGCTCAACAAACTGCACCGACTAGTCGACCAAGTGTTTTACCCGGTCTGATAATACCACCTAGTTGTTGGCCTACCTCTTGACAACCATCAGTGTCGAAGCGGCCACATCACCGAGAGGTGACTATACCTCAACCTGCTCTCCACTTCGATATTGGAAAAACCTTGGAGGGTTGAGCAGATTTCATCCATACGTGAAGCTTTTGCAGCCCCAGCCTCCCAATACTTTCCTACTACAATACTCGTAGATGATGAAAATCACTCTTCACGCTTGGCATCGTCAGCATCCATTTATTCTACTGCTATGCCATTGCATCAGCAATCTCCATTTCAACACCATAGAGACACAGGCTCTGATATCGACAATCCTCGATATTCATCCTGGTCCATGGACACACGCTCCATTCCGTTACATCAACATAGTTCCCATCCTCCGGTAAATCCAAGTCATCGACCCCGGCACCATTATGAAACTGAGGTCCATCCCTACCAATCGAGGTCCGTCGATGATCAACCACCATCTTTTGATGTTGACAATCCTCGACATTGACAGATGCCACCTCCATCTTTTCAGACTCATAACTGGCACTAGTACAAAACTCAGCTTCTCAACACTGAAGTCGATAGACAGTCCATTGACTCCAGATGCGACCTTGATGGCTCTGACCATGGATCTCGGCTGCAGGCTCCATCTGTATTACTTACCTCTCCAGAGCTGAACATTATTGATACCGACCTGCTGTCCCTGGCAGAGGATTTCCAGACCTATGCCCAGCTTATGATTTGCATGACTAAATCCCTTGATCTGCAAATCCACCAACCATCGACAGAAACAGCTGATCATCTATATCAGAGGTCATCAGCCCTGGTCCACAGCCCAGTGCTGGTCCGTGGCCTGTTCTGAACCGGGCCATGGAGACAGACCTTCCCCTCCGCACATACTCCCATCCCCACAGCTGCTTTGCATACACGCGTGTGTGCCAGAGCCGTCGTAAGCCCTCCCCCACCCTTCATGCATGCGCCCGAGCGCCCACGCAAAGGAGTGGGTTTTCGTGCATGCAGATGCTCCTGTGTATATGCGAAGGGGTGGGGGAGTGCTCATGTTGGCCCTGGCGCACACACACACACACACACACACACTCCCTACCACTTTACACATGCACCCAAGAGAGAGCGCACTTGCGCCCAAAAGCACGCATGCACGGGGGGCTCACCTTCCTCAGAGGCCCCTCCGGTCTGCGGTCCCAAAATGGTTGGGGACCGCTGATCTATATGATCAGATCTCTAAAAATACAACCACTCTGGTACACATACCAATGTGCCAGAGGATAAAAAGATACTAGCTCAAACCTTCCAAGAAGAAGGTCTCTCCATTGCAAGTGAAAGGAGATGCTTGGCGCCAAGGTACTTATATGGGTGGGGAGGGGCATATTCAAATGTGTTTATTGCTACTGCAGAAGCTCTAGAATCTTCTGATGAGGCTCCGCGCAGGCGCAAATCACCCAGGGTCACAGAGGTTCACTCAAAGAACTACAGTTACAGGTGGGTAACCTGTCCTTGTTGCTCCAAGCAAAGCGTATTAGAGGGCGCTTCTCCCACAACCATTTCAGGATGAGCCCTACCCCAGGCCTGTCCTCCTTAGGAAAGTAGGTGTTCGTGCACACTCCAGTGGATATATCCAGTGTGCGTGCTGTGTCTGTTCTTTGAGTATCCATGCAATCCTAGGCTGGAGCTGGCCTTTGATTCTACCGGAATACAGTATTTGCAGTGTAGGCCAGAGCATTTCCCTACACACGCACCGTACACAGAGGTACACAAGAAGGACTCTTATTCTGCTCCTCTTGGCTTCTTTTTTCTTTGCATTTGGGTTTAGCGGGTACCCACTTTGCAGAGCAGTAAGGCTTTTTCTCTGCCTCCCGTAGATCCGTCTGATGAAGGGACAAAAACCTTTTGAGGACTCAATGGGCTTCGATGGTATCCATATTGTGAGCCACCTCGCAGTGGATGACGATTCGCTGCATTCTTCAGACGAGGAGCTGCTGACCAGCCCCATGGTGGTGGGTGCCCTGCAGGATGTCTTGTACCCACTATCTCCCCATAACGCACACTTTCTGCGGGGTGCAGAGAGCTCTGGGAAGGAGAGTGATGGCACCACAGATAGCGATCCCGACGACCCTGCCTCCGCCGCTGAGCCCAACGGGGAGATCATCTTTGAAGAGGCCTTGGGCAAATGAGGGGAGAGGTGGCCGTCCCAGCTTCACTCAGAAGGCACTTTGGTGCTGTGGCCATGCTGTCCTGAGGGTCAGGGTTCAGAGACCGATCATGCAAAACAAAACTGAGGCCCCAACTCAGGGAGTCCCACCCCTCCCTCATGGGGGATGGCTTGGGAGGAAGACAGCATTCTTCGGCTGGCCTGCATTAATTACACGGACCATCTCTATCGATTGTTGTCTGCACTGCCTTTTCTTTTTCAGCTGTGTTGTCACTGGTTGTTAAAATCCAAATCTGTCTATTGGCCTCATTCACATCTCCCACTACCCGTCCTAGCCCTTTGGCCATATCTTAATTTTCTCCCTTCACACGCACATAGATTTGCACACTCAAGAACTCTGAAGGAACAGTAGCAGCGACAAGTCCACTGGTTCCATAGAATGCCGTCTAGTAGTGATTAATCTCTGTTTCCTTGCCCTGCTTGGGAAGATGGGCGGGGCATGTCTTCCCTTGAATTATACGTGTCTCTTTCCTTGTTGTTTTGCATAGGGAAGAGACAAATTGAATGTCTCCACAGTTGTTTGTGATTTTCAACCTAGGAAAAGGACAGGAAGGTGTGTGTGGAGAGTGTGTTTCCGAAGAGGTGATTTTGTTCTAGCAAGAGACAGAGAAAGAAATTATATTTTTGTTCCTTCATATATTATTTATTTATACAGTGTATTTGCCAAACCTTCTCTCTTGGCATAAAGCTTTAAGTTCAGCAGTCTTGAGGGCTATTATGGAGCAGCCAGAACTGCTTCTATAGCTAATGACAAAAGCATCTTTTCTATTTAATTGTGTTTCACATGGTGTGAGTTGTTTCACATGGTACCTTCGATGGCATCTTTTGCCTGCAGCTTAATTCTGCCCTGCTACAGCTGCGGCAGTTAGGTGCTGTCTTGCTTCATATGGTAGGTAAGTAGCTGTTTACCCAGAAATCCTCACTTGAAATTGAGTGAGATGATGCCATAGCTTTCTATAATTCCACTTTGTGGTCATCTCTCGAAACACTTATTCCTGCAGAACTATGCCTGGTTCAGGCAGCTGGCAGCCCATCAAAGTGCATGGAAAATATATTTTATTTAGGGAAGATACATCAGTAAGTTCCTTCCCTGAGCTCTTATTTGGTACATAATCCACTGGAACAGAGTAAGTGGCTCAGTTTTGTGAAATTTGAGAAAGTAACTTGAATAATTCTTTCTTGTCAATTGACAAGCCATCTTATGGAGAGACACCTGATGGAGAGATGCCTGATCTTTCCAAAATCAAAAACAAAAATGCCCAGGCTTTCCTAGTGGAAGTACAAATAAAGCAAACATAAGGTATACAGCTCTGTGTTTGCTTTCTGACACTAATGGGGTGGGAGGCTGTAGCAGAGAATCTGGGAGGGAGGGCCATGGTTAACCTCCTTTCCTCCTGTGGATTATTGCTTGCAAATGCTTCTCAACAATGTCCTGCCACAACCACTGTATATATGTTAAGCTAACAACGTGTTCATCTATATATGTAGCGCTCCTCCAAGAAACAATTCCACCAGATTTTTTTCTCCTAAATTTGTGAAAGGAGGTCACAACAAGATTAGCTTCTAGCCTTCACTTAGAGTGAAGAGGGAACTCACCAGCAGCAATACAAAGAAAACCCCATAATCTACAACCAGTCATTCGTGATCTCACTCAAGAACTTTCCAAGTCAGTGATCCCCAGCTCAGCTGGAAATGCTGCTTTGTTACTATAATGCTGTTTAGGTGTCTACATTGCAGGATGAGTTCTTGTAACTCACTAGGTATTTCTTCATACACACATGCACACCCACACCCCAAAGAGTCCTTCCAGTAGACAGGCCAGTTTGTCAAGCAAAGACACGATGCTTGACCTCTCTCTGCAGCTGTTTGCCTCTCATGTTCAATATATACGGATAAAGCCCAATAGGATAGAAGATCTAGAGAAGGGATGGAGGGGTATATGGAGTGTTGAAGATGCAGCTCTTTGACCCTGCCAAGATAGTTGGCTGTTACCTTACATGAGATCTATAGTTACCAAGATCCTTTTGTGCCATATGGTCTATGGGTTAGTTTCTTAACTGGGAAGAGGTGGTAATTCTTTAGGCAAGGGGGATCATTTCTTGTTTTTCACTTCTTTTCACCCAACACTCCTTGCCCTGTGCTGTTACAAACCAACAATACTGTTGGAGCTTGCCTAATTGCTAAAATGCACATTATTAAGTCACATTGTTCTGTATCAGACATACAGACCTCTCTTTCTGAAAGAGGTCTCTGTGATTCTTTGCTAGGCATGGATTTGCAGTATGTCTTGTCCTGACTGAAAGAAGGGGTTCCCTGAATTCATCAAGTGTTATTAGGTGTGCCTCTTAACAGGGCAAATGTTGTGGGTCATTTTCAAGTGCAGTTCCAGAGTCTCCTCTTGTGAGGTTAAATTGGCATTTGCAAATCTAGTCAGACAGACATTCACTGCCTGGCCCAACACATAGAGTGGTCCTGAATTTTTTTATATACAGTATATATATTTATTTATTTATATAAATATACCAGGGGGGAATGCTCCAATTCAGTATAATCTTTCACATTTTAATAGGTGTATTCTATATGTACATGCTGTTGCCAAAATTCTGTAATATGCTCCACGAGTCTTCATTCTCCCTCCTCAAGATCAGCAGTTCTGTACAGTATGTTGTCCATACAAGAATTCAGCCTGCACAGTTACTTAGAAGTGCTTGTGTCATTCCTCTCCTTCCCTTCCTATTGGTGGACATACATTTGCCCTGTTGGATGGCTTGTGAAACTGTTGGCCAGTTTGTGCATAAATCTAGCTGCTGGTGATATTTGTTTGTGTGATGTGAGCCATCTGCTTGCTTGCTGCCTCCAGGATCATATATTGGGAACACACGCTTAATCACAGCTGCTTCTAAATCTAAAGTCACCTCCTTTGGAAGTTAAGGGAGTAAATGCGAGAAGATGGGCTCATTTTAATAGAAGCAAATTCAAACTGCTTGCTCGGTGGTTGTTTTTAATATAAAATCCATTTATGCATTATTCAGTTTGCTGATCCAGGCCTCGCTTTAGGTCTAGAGTGACTAAACTGGAATTTTTAACATTTGGCCTTTGTACTGTCAGTGGACCAGGAGGGTGCCTGGGCTCAAACCCTCACTAAGCCATGGAAATTCCCTGGGAGGTGGCCGGGATAAACCACTCCTTGAACCTCTTACATATCTTGAAAACCTGATTAGGATTGTCCTAAGGCAGAAACCATTCGATGTCACAGAACAACCGCCATCTGCACTGTAGTCACTGAGTCCTGCTGCTGCCACTTGGTTGCCAGGTTTGAGACCAGGGCTGCAGGGCAGTATAATCTGTTTTATTAAAAGTTGCCACAACTACCTTTGTCCAATTACTCTTCTTCTTCTATACTTGCAGTGCTGATAAGGCCATATAAAAGTGTTCAAAATTGATGTTTTTCTCTGGATTGTCTCATTTCTGATCTGTGCAGCATCAAGAGATAATGGGATGAACACCTTGACTTCTGCACTTTCCAGCAAAGAATATTTATTTCCATTGGCCAAAGCCCTGTTGCTTAGCATAGTAAATTGCACATGAGTGGGTCAAATGATATTACTCTATAACTTACTATGCCAAAGTAAATTGCAGTTTAGAGTAGGCCTATTTGAGTCAATGGGATGTATGGAAGAGGTGACTCATCAAATCCCCATTGACGTAATGGGTCTACTGTCATTTGATTTACTATGCAAACCAACAGGATGGTGGCCATTGTGTTTGGGCTCTTGGTGGATAATGTAAAACCATACAATAAAATACATCATCATGGGTAATATGAAATAAGTATTTTAATATAATTCCTTTCTGGTGAAACACTCATCAACTGCTTAGAGCCATGGAAGAATTAAAACTATTAGAGCAGGGAACTGGCTGAGAGATGGCAATTCTGACTTTACCTTGGCAGAGACAAGGTATTTAGTGGAATCAAGCAAGCCTTCCTTCCTCTTGAATTGGATAAATACTAGCCAGAGATAAGCCTTAGTGGACTGTATGACATGAGGTCATTTTATAACTAATTAAAACATTAACCTCATTGAACTTAGTGGAGTGAGGCCGACTTGCTTTTCAGGCAGATCTGGCCTTCAGCTCTTTCAAAATAAACCCATTGTGTCAAAATGTGTCCCCTCTGCCAAGTCATTCTGTACATTTCAATAATATCTCCAACAGATTTGCCTTTCTGTTGTTCTAATGTGTTTGGAGGCTTTGCAGTGCAGGAACTATATATCTGAGGTTGAAGCCTTCTGTGTACAACTCGGGGACTAGATGCATGCATAACAACCTTCTATCAGGTCCTGTATGTTAGACAATGATGTGGGGCCAGCGTGGTCTGTTTTGATATGCAAGAATCTTCCAGGGCATTATCAGGCTTTCTCTCTGTCTTGAGGCAGGTGGGATTTTTTGCTTTACCAGATTCTTTTACCTAGCAGGAGCTTCATGGAATTGTAAGGCATAAAATTGCCCTGCCAAGCCATCCAATCTCTCTCTCTCTCTCTGCTGTCTCTACCATTTTGCTTTGGTTTTTTTGAAATTCTTCTTTATGCAAAGTATTGTGAATGGATTTTTAATGATGATACCAGTTTTTCTCACAGACAGTGACACTGGTGACCTTTCATTTCCTACATTTCCTTTGTGGCTATTCTTAAGTAGCTCCAAACAGAAGTGCCAAATGTTTTAGCCCGCTCAGTGCTGTGCATTATGGAGTAACCATACCCGCCCAGCAAAGTACTGTACTGTAAAACCCATTGGTAAGCACAATGAAGTATGTCTGCACATCCAGATCACTTTCCAGTGCGTGCAAGTTTCTAGCCTAACAAGTTTACACAGACCTCTCTCATTATCTTTTCCTGATATTCTTAACAGCATAGGGTCGTCGGGAATCTCTCTGAGCCTGTGTGTGCCATAGTGTGCTCCATTTTCTTATGCCATAAAAAGGGAGAAGAAGCTACCTATGGGATCATCTGGCAAAGCCCATATCCCACAGTTGCAGCAATGTATGCTTCCAATTTGTCCTCTTGGGCAGGATAGGCAGGAGTAGTGCTTTCTTGTGAGCTTTGATAGCTACTGACATAGTTTAATTTCCACTTTAATAGTACTCATTTTCCTTCTTCATGGAGGGAAAGCAACATGGTGCTGTGTTGAGATTGGAGTTGGGAGCACCCCCTGTGTTAATCTCCCAACTCTGATGCTTGACTTCAAGTCATTATCCAGCTTGACTGCAATTGTTCTCTTCCTCATGTAAGAATCTCACATTCTGCAGGAGAGGCTGCATTTACTACTGGGAATAATGTGGAGGGTGGCAACCAGTTCATTACAGTAAATAGGGACTCTTCCCATCCCAGCCCCAGGCAATATATGCAAAATACTGTATGTTTCAGCAGACAGAATAGAATGGGAACCAGAGGCAAGAAGAAACTGCCTCCTTTCCCCTTAGTTCTAGTTTAGTTAGACATTCATCAAAATCATTACAGACAGACATCAGCATTTTAAGACTAGTGAAGTAAAATGGAGATTACTGGCATTACCTACCCTGTAATGGTGCATTTTCTGTCTTGATGTAAGCTTCGATAAGCTGTTTGGATAGAACTAGTAACTAGTTGGCTATGGTGGGCAGTAATTGATCAGCATCTGTAAAATTGTTAGCATACACTGTTCATCCCTTAAACTGGTGTAGAAATTAAGTAAATTAAGAGGTGGATGGGCCTTGTACATACATAGACATATGTGCTGCTTTGAGAAATGAGCCTGCATGATGAACGGGAGGTAAGAAAGACTGAAAGTGAGACATGCTACATTAGTAGGCAAAGCTGTACTTCAGTATTAAAGTTACTTCAGTGTGTGGTCATAAGTAATACATGTCACAAAGTTGAAGGGGAAAAAACCATTGTCGTGGCCCTAGAATGCTTTGTCAGTTTTAAAAAGTTTTAAAAGGCAAGTTTTTTGTTTTGCTTTGCTTTGAAATACCATCATTATGGTGAGGAAAAACCTTCTCATTTTTGTGGAGCTCTGACCTTGCTTAGGACTTGTTCCAGCAAAGGCCCCACCCACTCTCACATTTCTGGAATTGTGTATGGTGGGAGGATGCCTTTGGTGATACTAACCTTACCCATGACAAGAATAGTTTCACAAAGTTAGTTGTATGATGAGAGGCTCAGGGTGGAAAGGAAGCATGTTGTGGGGCAGGTGAATGATTTCTGCAAAGAAGGAAGAGCCAACCAGAAAGGTAGCACAGAAAAGTTTTATTTAGGTGCAGCAGACCAAAGTAGTTTACATTTCATTCTGTTTAGCTTTGAGTTGGAACTGTGTCTGGAACCGACAATTCTAGATACAGTAACAGCACAAATATTATACTAAAAGTTGGCTATGAAGCTTGGGGTAAAAGAGCCTCTGTCCGTGGGACAGTAGAAACATAAGACAGGCTATGAAGACATGCCTGGGGGAAATCCCAAAGCAGCAATTCTGAAGCAGAGTACAGTGATGTGCATGTAAAAGTAGAGAGTCTTTTTGTTGTTTGTGTGGTGGTTTCTACAGTTCACTCTAAAAGCCCAGACCATTCCAAATGGTGCAGTACCAGGCCCACAGGTTCCATAAGCCAGCCACCCTGCATGAAAATAGTGATGCCTACTTGCCATACCTTTATGGTCCCCATTTGTGCCACCTCCTGGAGAAGTATGTGTGAAAGACATATGTTGCTGAATGCACAGGAGTCAAAAGGGGCCAAGAACCAGATGTGGAAGCCTCCGTGGCAGACTTGTCCTGTTGCTGCGACTCATACCTGTGCCATGTTCTCTCTAGGCAGAAGAGGACCTCTCTACATCTTCTCTTTATATATTGGCGTGTCCCATATTCTGTGCAGCTATACCACTCACTGCTAGCAAACAGCAAGCTGCTTATATCCAGAAGGAATGTGTAGGCAGGTGACAGTCTGTTTTTGCTTTCCAGATTGGAAAGTATCTTTCTCTTCTCGCTGCCCCAGCTGTTCCTGAAATCATGTGTTTAGTGTACCTATGTACCAGTACCCCTTCTCTGCTCCTCAGAATATAACTTTTCATTCTCTCCAGGCTCATTTTAAAACAAATACTGTTGTACAAAATATCTGTAATTTCAAACAAACAAACAAAAAAACCCAAAATAAACTATTTACACTGTCTTAATAATTCTGTGTCTTGGCCCTTATGGCAGGGTGGTGGTGACAGTGCTCATTATTGAGAAAACGGGTGTTTCTCCACGTCAGGGTGTGCTGTGCATATCTGCACAGCACGGTAGGTTCCTTTCCAAGGCATTCATGCAGGAATTCCACTTTTAAAAAACTCAAATGTGGAGGTTGTGGTTTACAGTGACCACTTAAAGGCCTGTATTTCTGTATATTTACAGGATGCCCCCATATGGCAGCATACCAAACCCTGCTAAGGTCTATGTGGTAAAGACCCGTTTTGTGAAACATTAGTGCCCACTCTCAATGTAGAATATCTAGCTGCATGAGCGAAGGTGAACTCTGGATACATTACACTGAAGTCCTTCTGCAATAGCAGTTGTTTAGACAGTTAATCTTTTGCAAGAAGGCCAACTAGAGAAATCCCCAAATTTGCTAAATTTTAATCTTGCTTCTTGGAATGCATCTTTTTTCTCTTGGGAAGTTAGAGGTCTGACTTCAAAGGTGCCTGGAAGCTAGACTACGCCAACATGGGTTCAAATGCATTTAACCATTTCAAATTACCAGTGTGTGTGAACCAACCACACCTGAGCCAAAGTAGTCTTTCAAAATGTGTTAGTGGACAGTTTCCCCACAAGGTGAGGAGGACAGCAGATGTGTCCCATTACCATGGAATGCAATTTTCTTCACAAAAAAAAAAGGCGGGAGTAGGAGAGTTCATTTTTCTGCAGCACAAGTTTAGAAATAGAGAACCAAACCCAAATGGGGAGAAGCACAAATGCCCAGGCAGCTACCCAGACTGAGTTGTGGAAAAGCCTTACTAGTGCTGCCAAGCAGAATTACTTATATCAGCTAAAGGTTTGAGCCCCTGAAGTTATGCAGTGCCACACAAAATTAAGTCAGCCAAGTGTGACATGGGGCTAAAGACTGAAGAAGAAGGTGATTTGGAGGAATGTGAACAGATCCATTTGACATAGATGCTTGAGCACAAGCGAAAGACCTCTTAGAACCTGCAAAATAAACAAATGGTTGATGGGGATGCAAAGCTGTTTCCACTTTTCCTCTTTTGCTTTTCTGGCTATTCTGTTAAGGGGGCCCCTTCATCCAAGCTGCCCGTATCCCTCTTTCCTGTTGGTTCCTTTGCATCACCAAAAGGGGTGGAGGGGAGAGAGGATCAGTGCTGAATGAGATGCAATCAATCACTATTTATATACAGCGATATATAAATATATATATAAATGGTTATTTCACAAGTTGCAGTGGTAAGACGAGTTAATAGTCAGGTAGTGGGCCATTCTTGCCATCTGCCCCCCAAACTTTCTCAGCCAGCTTTTAGTACTTTGATGTAGATCGGGGCACCCTCAGTCAGTGCAGTTGATCTGAGCCTTACAGGTTTCCTCAGTTGTCCCTCTTTTTGCCATTACCACACCCCAGGTTCATTTCCCCATAAAAGCTTTTCTAAAGCCAGCTACCTGCCCTTATAAGAGACCTGTTAGGGCTGGGAGCCACGTCCAGGGCCAGCTGCAGTCAGCGCCGAGGAAACATCTAGAGGCTTTGGAATGGTTGCATCTTCAGGACCTGGTAAGTTGGAAGATAGAAAAGATGCAGAGCTGCTACTCTAGCCTATTTCCTCCTTCCCTGCCTGCACAGCAAGCATCCCTACAAGGTTTAACTTTCCTAGAGGTAAGCAAACTCTTTCTCTGCTTATTTGTATGTATCAGTTTATCACTGTACACTTATAATTCTACAGTGCTCAGCAAAAAATACCAGCACAGAGGTACGATAGTTGTGGTGTGGCTATAATTACAAAGGGCTACAAATAGCTAGCAAAGAGGCCTGGTCCTCCTGCCATGAGTTGGACCTTCTGCACAGGATAGCCCATTGCTGGCCCTTTCTCCGGAATTACCACTGTGTCCGCTCTATGTGATTTTACCCAGTGGATTATTCAATGCAAGGTGAAATAAAACGCATTACTGTTTACCATAGCAATTAAATACAACACCAGTGTGAAAGTTTCCTATGCTGTAAACGGAGCACAGATCATTTCCCGACTAGAGACAGAAGCAAGTACAGGGTCAGAATGTTGGCTACTACAGGAGGTTTTACAAAAGCCTCACCTCTCTCCAGGACAGTTTGGCTCCTCTTCCTGATTGCTGCATCACCTACGAGTTCAAGGCTGGCATTAAAATCTGAAAACTACAGTTTATAGATCTCATTGTTTTGGAGAAAACATGAACATGAATGAACATGAGCATTTTTATCAGTCTTGTAACTGCTCTTTTATTGTCACATCTGTCCCCATGGCGGGGTGGGCAGATCTTGAATAGATAATTATGCAAAAAACAGACACTTATTTATAGCATTCTACTGGCCATAATATACTCAGTATCAAATATGTTAGACGTCCCATTCATGGAACAAAGCGTAAGCATTTCCACACCAGTGATACTATTCTGCATCAAAGCTGTTGCATCATAGGTCACATTAAGGCTACAGTATCATCCTCTGATCCCACATAGAGCCTGGGCATTGTTTTGTTGACTTCCTCTTCCACCTACTTCAATGCTCCACTTGAGGGGTTTTTTAAAAACTTGAGTACACACGGTGGTGTAGTGGTCAGTGTGGATGTGCAAGTGCTCATCAGCATGCTCTCCATAGCTGGCTCCACCTAAACATCCAGGCAAGGCAGCTGGATCATTCTATATCAAAAGGTGAGTACTAGCTGTTTTTTTCCATCTGTCCTTTTGTACATCCATTGAGCCTAAATTGCCCATTCAGGATCAAACCACCCTCAAATGCTTTGCTTTACAACAGAGACAGCTGGCAACAATACACATTTCCTTGAAAAAACATTTTTTTTTTCTAGCCACTATGAGGATTTCAACAAGGGAACAGGGAAGCCTGAAGGTGATGGCTGATGAAGTCACAATCAGTGCTACTGAGAAAGTACTGTACCAGGATTTTGACCCTATGAGCTCTGGCTTTGTACTGAATGCATGTCACTGAACAACTATTCTTTATCAGGTGTCTTCTCTATGTCAAATTCTAGGCTAATCTCCTGAGCGTAGGGGCCTGTCCTTATGCATTTTAATTGTGCAGCAACCAAAAGAACAGGCATATAAAGTTTATTACAGAGTTCAGGGAAAGTTCTCTAGATTAAGGTGGAAGGAGAACAATATGTGCCATATATATGGTCCTTACACATACCTGTCTGGGAATGAATGAACCAGATCCCGCCAGTGAGGGACATGCCAATGATGAAGGCAGAAAAGGCTATGCCAACCACAGCTGGGAGTTCCAGACCTGCTGCAGCTGTAGAGAAAGGCAAACAAAATACAGTAATAGGGATTTGGCAAATCATACTATGCTTTTCTGTTCAGTAAAACTGATGAAACCCAATGGACACTGCAGCCAAGAAATCAGAAAAGGATTGAGACTCAGCAGAGCGGCTACGAAGTAACTAGTATAAGGATGCATCACTGAAAACCAAAGTCAAGCTCATCAGCGCTATTGGATTTTCAGTTACTATGTACAAATGTGAAAGCTGGAGTTTTAAAAAATGACCCACACAAGTTACAGTGCTAACGGAGAGCTTTGCCTATACCCTGGGCCAACAAAAAGATAGACAGGTGGATTCAAGAACAAACCAAGCCTTGTTTATATGGAAAAATGATGAAACTAAGACTGTCCTATTTTGGGCATATCATGAGAAGACAGGATTCTCTGAAAACCAGAATAATGCTGAGAAAGGTGGAAGGCAGCAGGAAAAGAGGGGGATCAAATACAGTGGTGCCTCGCTTAACGGGCGCTCCGTTTAGCGATGAAATCGCTTAGCGATGACTTTTTCGGAGCATTTTGCGCTTCGTTTAGCGATGGTACCTATGGGCGATTTTCGCTTAGCAATGGTTGGGACCATGCTTCGCATAGCGATTAAATTTTGGGTCTCCTGTTTCGCTTAACAATGGTTTAAACAGCCTCATGTTTGCTGTTTTTAAAATGTTTTTCTGTTATTTATAAAGTTTTATTTATTTATTTATTTATTGTTTCGCTTAACAATGGTTTAAATAGCCTCATGTTTGCTGTTTTTTAAATGGTTTTCTGTTATTTATAAAGTTTACTGTTTAAAATGTTTGAAATCATAAAGTGCACTTAATAAACCCTTTGTTAACCAAATTTGACTTTGTTCTGACTCTTTTTTAATTTGTTGTATTTTTTTTCCTCCATTGAGATGCATTGAATAGGTTTCAATGCATTTCAATTGGGAAACCGCGTTTCGCTTAGCAATGTTTCCTATGGCGATTTTCGCTTAAGGACAGCAATTTGTTCCTATTGGAACAGATTATCCAGTCTTCAATGCATTTCAATGGGAAACCGCATTTTGCTTAGTGATGAAATCGTTTAGCAGCATTTTTTCCATAACGAATTAACATCGCTAAGCGACGCACCACTGCACAGACATTTTGGAGATTACTCAACTGACTGGCTCAATAAAGGAAGCCAGAACCTTGGGTTTGCAAGAGCTGAGCAAGGCTATAAATTACAGGACTTAACAGAAATCACTCATTCACAGGGTGGCCATAAGTCAGAGTGGACTTGATGGCACACCACCCCCACAACCAAGTGAAACAAAATGAAGTCACAGGCGAATGATCCTGCTCCAGTCCACTTTCAGAAACAGAGAGGAAGACTCCCTTGCTTCTGCTCCGAGAAAGCATCAGGGAGAGTGAAACAGTCACATTAGGCAGCAGGTTTGGATTTCCATGAAAGAACAGCAAATTGATCTTTATTTAACTTCTTTTTTTGCTGTGCTTTTACTGCCAGGAAAGTAGAGAGAAGCTTGTTGGATGTCTTGCCTCATGTAACACCATTCTCAGCCTCACAGAAATAAAAATAAGCAGGCTGGCTTTAGGTAGCAGGTGCTTTGACTTAGAGTGGGGGAGGGGTGCCATTTACTGCTCTGACTCAGGCACCAAAACGCTTTTGGTCAGCCCATGGAGACAATCGCCATCTCCAGCCCTAGATAGAGAAAACAAAAGGGTAAAGAATGAAAATACACTGCTAGAAGAATTCACAAATTCACTTTTCCTAGACTCTAGATCTAGAGTCCCAGTCCAGAAAAGGTAACCTTCTCCAAGTCTCAGGTAAAGAAGGCTAAGGAGACAGTAGAGGAAAATTCACTTACTCGGGACTGGCTGTGTCTTCCTTGTGTGGATGGCATTCTTCAGGACTTTTCCTTGCTGATTGGCCAGGAAATTATCTACAAAAAGGGACCGAGAGAATTTGCAGAAAACTAGAGTGCATGATGATATCAATTTAAAAAGATTCGTTTTCTGTCATTCTCTAGTGAGTTCTCTAGGAAACTAACAGCAAATATTTAAGTACTGAAAACATCCCTTTGTAAATGAGTATGAAGACGATAACATAATACACCACATAAAAGGTATTTTTAAAACATGACTAATTTCTGTTCAGCATTATCTCCTTTGTTTCTTGGCACAGAATGAGAAGCGAGTGGTCAGCAAGTTTGAGCTAGGCTTAGATGCGCTCAACTCAGATGCAGCTTCGTGCCCCCCCCACTCTCTTCTGTCATTTCCTGATTTAGGAGAAGGGAACTTCCAAACAGAAGTTATGCCACCATCCAGTTCGGAGTCAGGGAGGCTGATCTGTGGGGTTACCAGCTCGGCGATCCCTGTCCAGCTCCTTTCCAGAACTGAAGCCAATTTTCCTACCTGTCCTCTGGCTTGGAACAGCAGCTCTGAGTGATGTCTCCACAGTCACTATGATGGGCTTGGTGACCATGCGCTGGAAGCGGCCGCTGGCCAATCCTTCTTTTCTCTTGCATGCCTCATCCTTGGATTGGCACTGAAACATAGATATGTCTCAAAAGAAGGCCTCAGCCCAGTGGCAGGAAACAGGCTGAGTTCATGTCACTTCCTTCTTCTGAAGCAGCCTACATTTGTCAATTGAGCCCTGAAGATTCTCAGGCTAACCCGAGGCATCCATTTCAAGCAACCTTTCTCATTATTACCCCATACCAAGAGGTTCACTGTCACCTTTATCCGGTCTCCCTTTGAATCTGTTCCTTTAATAATTACAGTTATTTTCCCACCTTTCCTCCAGTGAGTTCCAGGAGGCAGAGGTGGCTCTCTTTACCCTCACAATCACCTTGTGAAATCAGGCTGGGGTGGGGGAGGGGGCAGCTGGCCCCAAGATTGTTCACTGGGTTTGATGGCCTAAGGCAGACTAGAAGCCAGTTCCTCTGAGTCTTAGTTTGACATGGTAACAAGGAACACCCCTTCAGCTCCTGGGCACTGCCCTTCCACACTGGGAGCAGCAACTGTGGGAAAGGCAGCAGCTCAGTGGGACGGTCTGTGCTTTTTATAGAGAAGGGCCCAAGTTCAGTTTCTGGCACTTCCATGTAAAAGAAACAAGTGATGGGAAAGAGCTCTGGGGGGAGAGAGAGAGAGCCAGAGAAGCCAACAAGCCCCCCTGGTACAAACCAGCCTTTTAGAGAATACCGTAGGACTGAGCAACTGTGGCCCTCAGTGTCTATGGGGTTGTTGTTCTTTGGCCTGCACCTGTGGTTCCCAACCTTGGGTCCCCAGATGGTCCTGAACTACAACTCCCAGAAATCTTGACCAGCACAGTTAGTGATGAAGGCTTCTGGGAGTTTTAGTCCAAGAACTTCTGGGGACCCAAGTCTGAGAGCCACTGACCTGTAATCTTCATCATCCCTAAGCAGCATAACCAATAGTGAGACATTACAAGAGACACAAGCCAAACACATCTGGAGGGCCACAATTTCCCACCACTTCTCGACAAGGCTTTCCAGTCTTGGTGGATCAGAAAGTCTTTAGTACTACCACAGTAGATGTGGCCACTTTCCTGCCACCTGGTAGTTGCCAGAGACCTTGGGGATTGGGCCCTTGGGCTGGCCGTGGTCCTGAGTCTCCCGGCTGCAGAGTGTCAAGCGGCAGTGCAGGAACTGAATGGAGTCATTGAAGCGTGGCTGGAGTATGAAGCTCAGCCGCTGACGCTCCTGGTATCCTAGAGGCAAGGCCTGGCCCTGGACAGTCTGCTCTGATTCTGACAAATTCACATGGGCATCAGCGGCACAGCCGTGTTGGACCAGCAAGTACGGAGAGGTCACTGAGGGATCTGAAGAAGGGGAAATGAAACACTGCTGGATGGTGAAGCCAAGGCACAAATCATAGGTAGCCAGGGAAGCCTAGAGGAGAAAAGAAACATCAGCTGGTCTGTAAACGTGTCCAGAAGCCACCGTGACCTGGGCTAATTTAAGAATAGATTTCATTTAAAACATCTGCTTTACCTCTACAAAAACACGGCTGTTGGCTGAGACTGTACAGGGTCCTGGTTGTTTGGTAAAAGCCTCAGAATTGTAGACCTCGAGGCTGAGCAGGACCTTGCCGTGGTGAAAAGGAAGGTCCCGGAAGGCCATGCTGGCTTCTGGGGAAGAGGCCTGGCTTGAAGGTGAGGAGATACAGGACACCTGTGGAAGAAACACGGGCAGGTATTGGGGCACGGATGTACGTCGAATGGCCAAGAGGAACATGGTGGAGAAAGCCATGTTCTGAGCACTTGAAGCAAAAGCCATCTGCCAGGCAGAAAATAGGCTTGTGTGGAAAACTGAAAGCCAAAATTGCCTGGCCTGGCTATAAAAACAATGACATCCCCAAAAGCAGACCAGAATGTTAATGGCAAAATCCTGGGCTGGAGAAGTTCTCTGTCCGGCATTTCCAATGAAAAGTGAATAAAGCTGGGAAAAGCCTCTGCCTGATAAACTAAAGAGCCAAGACCAGCCACAGCAAAGAATACTGGACCTAGCCAGCCAGATCACACAATGGACACAGTAGAAGGCATCTTCAGTTGTTCATGCAGTCGCTTGGCATGGGATTCTTGAGGGGTGGGAAAATATCTGCGTACCCATCCCATCCAGCTGACTTTGCAAAGTAGGTAAGGGAAGGAATTCCTCTGGCTATTGGAAGATAACCATCTTGGTTACTCACACTTTGAGGCCCTTTCTTTTGTTGCAGGGGTTTCTGCTCTTCAGCAGGACACAGGAAAGCTTTTGTTCCTTCTGTTTTGGCTATAGGCAGAGGATGGAGAACAGGACCGCCCTGCCCCAAGAACTCCTGCCTCATCTCCCAGCCAGCTGTGGTGGCCTCAGGGAAGTTCTGTCTTTCAACTGCGAGTCTGGGGACGGGTCTCACGAGCTTATGATCCCCTGGAGGGGTAGAAGTGGCCTCTGCAAGGAAGGAACAGATGCAAAAGAGTGAGGCTGCCCTGTGTATCACATAAACAGTTCCTATCTACTAGTTAAAATATTAGCAATTACTCAAGTGATAGATGTATAAATTCTGGCACAAGATGTTGCTGCCTGCCCACCCCACTTAAGGTGCAACTACACTGACATATTGCCATGTGCAAAATGCTACAGGAGTGGGACAGTCTGATTTGCACTTTTCAGTGGTACCTCAACTTACAAACTTAATCCATATTGGAACAGCGTTCGAACGTTGAAAAGTTCATAAGTCAAGGCAAACTTTTCTATAGGAATGCATTGAAAACCATTTAATCCACACCTGCTGTTTTCCATTCGTATGTTGAGGCTCTGTTCGTAGGTAGAGGCATTAGTTTCCATAGGAACTAATGCAAAGCCAGTTAATCCGTACTCTACCACTAGGGAGAGAAATTTTTTTTATTTTTTTCTTCTTTTGACCTAAGATGAACTTAGGTCAAAAGAAAGGGCACGAAAGGTTTTTTTTCTTTTTTTCTTTTGTTCGTAAGTCGAGGCTCTGTTCGCAAGTTGAAGCAACTTTTTGCGAATGGAGCTGTTCATAACTCGAATCGTTTGCAAGTAGGGACGTTCGTAAGTCGAGATTCTACTGTTTTTCTGTTGACCACATGACATAAAAGTCAATGTATATCAACCCAGACTTTTTTATCCTAATCTGTAGTCCTTTCCTCTACCACTGGGCCTTCTACTTTTTTTTGTCAGTGGATCCATCTGCGTCGGTTCAGAAAGTGTGATTGCTTGAACCAATGCAGAAAGTGTGTGCACGGTTGCTGGTGGCTAGTGTGATGGGCTAAGGGCAATGTTAAAATACCGGGAAGACCAGATCTTTGCAAATAAAGCCAATTCTCTTTTTAAAAAAGGTTTGGTGCCAGAGTGCTGTTGTGCTAGTGCATATAGACACTGAGAGAGAGAGAGAGAGAGAGAATCAGAGGAGGAAATTGCCATTCAGCCCTTGTTTACAGCTTATTAAGAAAGTACTTCTGTAGCTATGTCGAAAGGTCTGCAGAAGAGCTACAAGCTATTTCTTCCTGCCCCCCGTGTGGTTAGTTAACATGAATTTACTTGGTGAAAACTTGAATTCCCAGGTACAGCTTCACAATGGGTCAATTCACATTTTTCTTCCTGTGTAGTTGCACCTTAGGTTCAGTGTTCAGGGACAAACAGAACAGGAGTAATGGAAAGCAAGTGTGCATTTTGAAGGCAGACTGTGCTGCCCTAATACTGTATACATTTGCATTCAATTAGTCTCGTAGGTCTTTAAAGTGATCCAAGAAATATTCACTGCCCCAATACATACTTTAAAAAACATTATTTTTCTTCCTCAGCTCATCCACAGAGCCAATGAAGTGATTAATTTGCCAATATTGTGAAATGGCTCTCTTTTTAAGTCACTTCATTATATTGGCAAATTAGAGGAAGGGTTGATTTTGGTGCATTCCCAATGATCACACACACTGAAAACAGACCAAACCAGACTGACCCTACCCACACAAAAAAAGCAGAAGCTTCTGAGAGGGCCTCAGAAAGGTGCGGGTAGGAACACTCTGAGGAATGATTTGTGTGTGTGTGTGAGAGAGAGAGAGAGAGAGGGAGGGAGGGAGAGAGAGAGATCACTGTCAAAAGGCAGTGCACTGAACAGTGGGCTAAATGGCTATTTGATCACACCCTCTGTGGACTGAACATATGCTAAGCCAAAACCAGAGAGTCTGCTTGTCAGGAACACTTGCATATCTGTAGTACCTAATGGCAGGGACACATAGAGAAGATGAGAACTACATCGATGCACCCTGTATGGCACTGTGGCAATTTTATTGTCACCATATTCTGGTACTTAAGTAGCGCTCCCCTCTTTTACAGCTCCTCGGGTATTTGAAATTGCTAGATGACATGCCAGAAATGGGACGTATCTCATGGCTGACTCAAACAACAATCAGAGAAGTGGATTTAACTCTTTATCTCAAATTCTCTGTGTTTAAGTGGAGTCAGGAGAGGAAAGTCTTGGGAAGTGTTGGATGCAGGGAGGATGGTTCGAGAGACTGTGACTTTTGTCTCCTCAGTTCTTCAAGAGAGTGAGGTGACTAAAGATGCTGGTAGTCAAACCGTCTTCCATGCAATTGACACTTCTCAAGATGTTCCATCTTTGTCTCTCTTTAAACAGGCGATACACAGCTAGGTATACTTGACTAAGTTTGCGAGTCTATCTATCTGAAAATGTATGTATATGTGTTTGTGTGTGTGTTGCCTTCCCTTCTTCCTTTTCTGTACTTTCCCAAATAATTTCCTTTTCATGTGACATTGTGCAACATCATTTTCAAAGGGATTTTCCCATTAACGTTTCCTCATGCCCTAAGACTACAAGATTGTTAAGCTGTTCCTTGTGTTCTGGTGGATTTTTTACAAGGTGATGTTACGTTTTCTCAGTATGAAGAAAAATAAATCCAAAAAGCTCTTTACTTTCTGACATTTCTAGAGGTGGGTTGAAGGGAGGAGGTTCTTGAAAAGCTCCCTGAGCAGCTTAAACTACTCAGGGCTTTTCAGGAGCTTCAGATTGCCTTTGGCAGCCTATAGTAATTATCTGGGAAAGCTCTGACAAAAGGAGAATCTCTCTACCCCCCAATCCCAATCTTGTCTCATCCCATCACGGTGAGGCATGACAGGAAAGCTGTGGCCTCAGCAAAGCGTGATTAAGCTGCTACTCCATGATGGTGAGTCAGCAGCATAGAAAGATGGAGAATCGCAACCTAGAACTGCCTTTCCTCATAAACCAATTTACAGTGAAGGCAATGTGGCTTCATTTGCCCTTTGTGGTATCACCACATTCCTAGAGGTGACCAGCTATGCGGCATCCATCTTGTTCACCATATGAACTCTTTGGTCAGCTTCACAGAGACGTTGATTGGCTACTCCAAGTATTGGTTCGATTTTCTTTAAATATTTCTATCCTTACCATTTTTAGCTTTTAAATATTGTCTTTTACTCATGTAAACTGCCTTGGGCCCTTTTTAAAGTAAAAAGTGAGAGTATTTTAAATAAATAAATAAAGAGGGTGAGAAAAAGCGTCAAATAGGCCTGTGAAGAGGCAGAAAGAAGATGCTGGAGTGGATAATTTTGGCTTCCTTGAAAATGTACTTTTCATACTGGAAATCTTTAGAAGTGAAAAATCTGATGCATGTCTGGACTTTATTGAATCACTATTTCTCTCTCTCTCTCTCTTTCTCTCTTTCTTCCCCCTT